TGCAACTGCAACTGCAACTGCAACTGCAACTGCAACTGCAACTGCAACTGCAACTGCAACTGCAACTGCAACTGCAACTGCAACTGCAACTGCTGCTGCTGCTGCTGCTGCTGCTGCTGCTACTGCTTCTGGTAGAACAAGCAGAACTAGAATAGCACTGGCGCAGCAGAGGAGGAGGAGGAGCTTTCGTCATTCTAGCCGCCGCAGAACAAATAACAATCAGGCGAAGACATCGGAATCAGACCCTGAGGTATCTCGGCCTCAGGGAGACTGACCATGCGCGTCTTCGCATGTGGGTGGAGGCCCAACCGATGGCAGGCTTTAAGGATAGGATGTTTAAGTTTAAGGCTCCGGCCGAAATGACTTACGATTTATACTGCCCCCACTCAGCAGCAGTTGAATAAGCATCTACATTCATGTATAAGGCCTTCAATAGACCTATGGGAGTTCCGCTGCAGGAGGGCTTCGGTTTCGATGGCTCCTGCCAGCGAGGGCGGCTTACAGCTGAAGAGGAGGTGTCCAGCGGCCACCATCTAGCATCAATGTGGCAAGACTGCAAATCAAAGACTTATTTAGCCACTTCGATTCCTTGTCAGGAGCAACTTGCGGCTGAAGTCTGTGCAGTCGACTTTTGGCAGAGGCTCCTTCGCTTCTGGAACACCAGGTAGCTGCTAGGCTTTGCCTGTACTGGACATGTCCGGCCGTTGACAAGGGGAGGCGAGTTGACCCGCGCTTTATGGGCAGCTGCCTCAACGCGTCAGGCCACGGCAAAACTAAAGTCCAGCCATCCAAAAACCCAAACTCAACAGCTATGCCGCCTCGGCCAGGGACCTGCAGCAGAGCTGGCACTACTCCGTTGCAGAGCACTGCTTGCAGCTCATGGCCTCAAGGTACAGAGCTCCACAGGTGGGATGCGGTGAGTTTGGTTTACTTTCGGGGCTGGTACAAGGCTAACTGGCAATGCCACGAGCATTCCAAAGGCAGAGGTGAATGCCCAGCACCAGCTGTCCCTCCAGGCGAGGAGTTGACAACTTCGCGAGTGCAATTGAGGCGCACTGCACCGATTTTCGGCGCTCTGTGGGGTGCGCTCCAGACCCTTGTCATGTCTTGTCTTGTGTATGTATGGTCGGGACGGTAGGCTGCAGCAAGTTGCCGTGGGGCGGCTCCGGGCCGAGCCTCTCACCAGGTGCCCCGCCGTCGGGGTTGTGGCAGCCGAAGCATGCTGTTCTTGCTGCCACGCAGAGACTGAGAGGCAGAGTGGCTCGGCCTCGGCTGCGCCGGATGAAGACGAGAAGCTGGAGCCCAACAAAGATGCGACGAAGGCCTGTGGCCAGGCTGCAGGGTGCAGGGTCTTAGAGCCAAAGACTGTGTGGGCTTGCAGGAAAGCGTGCAGCCAGAGTCGCACGTGATTGGGGATGACGAGGAGGCGACGACACTCCGTGCGTTGCGCTCCCTTGCTGCACCCTGCAAAGCAGGACAGAAGCCGCGAGCCCGGGCCCCGAATCGGCGCCAGCTCCACCGGTAGAGTAGTCACGAGCCAGAGGTTAGCCAAGAGACTCTGCTACAGGATGATGCTGTTGCAGCACGAGAAGGAGGCAATCGAACTTGCCAGGCCGGAGAATGGCCAGATTGGGATGGAATGGCTCCATCGAAACCTCGAGAGGATGCCAGAGGGGTGCACGCCAGGTCCATCGCCAAGTCAGCAGCCCTGCCTTCACCTCTCGCCATGGACCAGACCAAGGCACCTACGCACCTTTGTCTCTGCTTGACTCAGGGCCTCTTCCGGTAATCGCTGCAGTTTTCAGGCTGAGATGTTCTGTATGACTGCATGCTTTGTTCGCCCATCTGGTGCCAGGTGAAAGATCTGGATCGAATCTTCGACTGTATCGGCAGGCCAGGTTTCACCTTCCCACTTCGGCGCCTGTGACGGGCTGTCTTGTCTCTGCTCCCAGTGTTCGTCACAGGCTGCAGGCGTCTGCCGATTTCGTGGGCAGCTCACGGGGAAGTGACAGTTCCGAGTGTGGCAGACCGGTCTTGGCCAACATCGCTTGTCTCTTGAAAGGATATCCTGTTCCTAGCACTCGAGAAGATCATGTCGCACTTCTGTGTCAGCCTTGCTGAGTTAGCCTGCGGCTGAGAGAAAAGCTGCTTCGTAGCACTTCTTGCCCTAGCATAGCTGATGCGATTTTTCAGGAAGAGGCTGAGTACAGCATGGCCAGGGCCCCTTTGATACCGCTCGGGACTGCGGAAGGCGGAATGCTTTTCCGGATGCTTTGGAACCGCCACTGCCGCTCCTCTCCGTTGAAAACCCCCGCAAGCTTCCACAGCGTCGAGCCACAGATTACTTGGGCTAATAAGGAGCAACCCGGAAGCACAACAAAAGCCGGCCAGAAAGTGCAGAAAGAGCCAGAACAAGATCTACATGATACTGCGTGCCTCCTTGTCATTCGTCGCAAGCAGCGACTCACGGACCCATCTCTGATGTGAGCTGGGCCTGGGTCTGTGACGATGAGCTCCACGAGCCTGGAGGACATCCTGAAGGCTCCTTGGCGCTCCTTGGGATTGCGCTTCGGACCGCGGTCCAGGCATGTCCAGGTCCTGTCTGACTGGAGGCAATTCAATACCCCAGCAGGGAGAAAGTCTGGATGCAGCTGCAGTTTCTCGCCCGAACTTTCACATGCTTGCAGTGATTTGCTGCAGAGACGGCGCATCTCGTGTGCATTCTCGGGCATCGGTAGATTTTTGGAGATGCGGGCAAGGTCCTTGGGCGCAGAGCATGAACAGCATTGGCCCCGATATACTTTTTTGCGCCGACGCCTTCCAGAAAATGTTTCTCGGCTGATGGGTAAAGGATGGAGCGTGACGGAGTCTTCCTTGACTTTCTGCTGGTGGCTTTCGGCACTCTTCAAGCCCTGTTCAGCCTTGTGGCTTCAATTCTTGGGAAGGCTTGGATGCACCGCAGAACTCCTGCCTGGAATGAATTTCTGATGCATGTTTGTGTGTGGAGCGCTGGCACTGCAGCTGAGGTGGAATATCTCGTGGGTGCCGACTTAATATTTTTGCAGAGGTGCCGCGGCAAAGGAATAAAGCGATTGTTCGGCCAAGCAAGATCGAAGACCAGCTTAGGAAATCCGAAGCTTCCAAACAAGTTGCGCCGGAAGATGTGCGCCAACTCTACGCGGCCTGGAGCTGAGTGAAGTTGAGCTGTTCTGCACTTCGAAGAGCTGACAGCTCTGACTGTTGCCTTGGCCCTGGCACCGCCCAGATGGTGAAAAGCCTCTGTGGAAAAGCGCGGATCATTCACGCGAAGGCCCTGGCCTTGGCTGCCCGAGTTGCGCACATCTGCGCGATGTATCGGACACGGCTATTCCTTGCAGGTGCTCTTCCAGGGCACGGAGGTTTTCAATGGCCGGTTCCAGAAGCTCGCCGAGGCTTCGGGCTCCCATGTTTCGGAAGGCCGCACTCCGTTCCTGCGGTTCTCAGTGCTCGGATGGTCCGAAGCCTCGGCTACTCTGTTCTTGCCTCTTGGCAAAGCGAAGCCCTGCGCTTCCGGAAGGTGCTGTCCGGCGTCGCCAAAGGAGCTGACGTCGTGATTTTGACAGGCGTGGAACTGTAGGGCTAACCATTTTCAGCCCGAATCAAGACCCCTTCCTTTGAAAAGCGACCAACATGCTTGTACTGGTAGTATGGTTATGGAGTAATGGACCACCCTAGACCCTAAATCCATTCAGGCCCCTGTAGTAGAAAGCCTTTCGAGACAACTTCGATACTGGTGGCTTTGGACCGCCATCGCCCTGAGTACATCGCTATCTGCTATCTGATCCATGGTCCGATATGGCGAATGAGACTCTCAGTAGTATGACCTTTACTGTTGTGGTTACCGCTCTACGAACCGCTGTCTTGGCGTCGCGAGAGTCCCTTTCGCGGACCACGCATTTCGTGATTCGGGCCGCGGTTTTCTGGTGGTGCTTCGCCAATGCCCGTGTAAACCCATTCCCCCTGCCGTGCCCCAGTTCTGCTCCGTTTGTGAATGCAGGAGTCTACACGGTCGAAAGCCAGCGCGGCTGGGCCGTGCCCGTGGATTTCACGCTCCAAGCCGGTGCGCCTTTCGTGAAGAAGGCGAGTTCAACTGCCAGAGAGAAGAGAGCAGAAGACTAGCACCTTATAAGGATAATCAAATGACTTTTGCCCGACGGATGAAGTGACTAAACCAACACGGCTGACACCTGTCCGAAAACAGGAGGCCGCATTTCAAGCACCACGGCACCAGTTGCAAACCAGTGTTCTTGATACGATCACAGACTGCTCGTCTTGTCAGGCAGAGAAGCTGCGGCGTGCCATGGCAAAGCTGGAGGACTAGACTAGATGACCTACTTTCGGGAGCTTTCGGCTGCGGTATCGGACCCGTCGCTAGGAGGGCCCAGAGGTGTCTTGTGGTGCGCAGGAGGGCAACTTCGGGAAAGCCGCAGGTCGAGTTCGCAGCCTGCTCTCGCACGGAGGCCACCAGATGGTCACCATGTCAAGGTTCGATGCTGGCGCAGAGTCCTGCGCTGCCAGACAAAGCAAGCTTCACGCGGGAGTGGAACTCGGCGGGAGGGGCTCTCAGCTTCCTGCAGCGGCAGCTGGAGCTTGCTTGCATCTCAGTCGCCAGTGATGAATCAGCGGAGTTGTTGAATGGAGCTCCCTTGTCGGCCGGCTGGGCATTGGTTGATACATGTTGCGAAAAGCAGGTGCACTTCTTGGAGACTGAGTCTGAGAAAGAGGCATACAGGCCACACATGCAGTCCGGTCGTGCACATCTTGCTGTGAGCCGGGCGGACGACCGTCAGGCGGCGGCTCTGTTTGCCTGAGAACACTCAGCAGGCACACTGAGACAGGAATTTCTCATGTCATGTCAAAGCTCGCTGTGGTCTTGGCTGTGTGCCAGGCCTTCTGGGAGGATGTGGTCAGTAGCGAGCTGCAATGTAGAGCGAGGGAGCTACTTTGGCGCAGCTTGCCGCATCAGAAGCATGGCAATGTTCTGCAAATTGCAGTCTCTGGTACAGCGGCAACAAACGCCAAGGTTTCCGCACGCGGGTCAGTCTGGTTTTGCGACAGTCTGCCATTGGGCTGCACATGATCGCAGTCTGAAGCAGTGGGTGCAGCTCGTGGCAGTGCGGCGGTGCTCATGTCAAGCAGCCCTTTGTCGTGTCAGATTGAAGCCACCTGCTGCCCATCTCCGGCCCCTATGGCTCCTCCAACCGCGGCACAGCCGCCTGCGGGCCCATCGGCAACTGCATCGGCTGAGCAGCAGGCAGTCCTGTGGCACACTGTGCTTCACTCCGGGTCTTCTGTGAAATGGCTTTCAGGTAGATTAACACAATGGTATGATCAGGAATCCACCGTAATGATGTCCATAATGCACCGCAGTCTTTCGGCACTTTGATCTTCTTTCTCAGCTTCAGAAGGACCTCGCCATGCTTCGATGGGTCCTATTCGTAGGCGAGTTGAAGGTCTGCTTTGCAGCTGCGGCGTGCCTCATGGATCAAAAGTCGTGGCTACTTGTAGCAGTTACTGCTGTTTCAAAACCTCCTAGCAGGTGGCAGAAGCACAAAGCTGCTTGGCTGCAAAAGCAACTCACGATGACACTTTTCGTTTGTGATTGCCGGGTCGTGCAATCGGTCTTTCATCACCTTTCCCGCCTCGCACTATTCCGAAGCGAGGTGCGAGAGGTGCAAAACGGAAAGCTTGCTTTGCAGCCTTGGAAAAGGGCACCGAGGCGGGTCTGTTTCTACAGTGCCATGGGCCAGCATTGCTCATATCCATGAGTCTTGTGGGCTGTACGAAAAAAAGACCATGAAGCCGCAGTGCCAGGACCTGTGCAACTGGGTGCTGTAAGGGTTCGGTGCTTTGCGGTCAGTTCTCGGCTGCCAGGATTCTCCTGTGCCTCTCCGGGTTGTATAGGATCTGAGACTCTTTTGTTTACAGCTTCAGGCACTGGCACGTTGAGCGGCTGCGAGTTGATGTGCCTCGAGGGGCTTCAGGGTGTCGGGTCTCAAGATCAGAGATCCCGCCAAGAATCAAGAACTTGAGGTCTCAGAACAGTTAGGCTAAGCTGGCTCCTCCCTGCCGGTCGGAGTCAGCGCGGAGAAATGACAGTGCGTGCGTTGCAGGTGGGAGTCAAGCTGGCGACTCAGAAGCCACAGGAAGCGGAGGAAAGAGCCTGAAGCAATCCAGAGCTAAGTAAAGCACCAGCGCTTCTCCGCAGCCTGCTTCATACCCGACCAACGATGTGTCTTCGCCTGTTAACCCTGGGCCTTGGGCACCCTGAGGTGCGATGACGGCTGCTGGTACGGGGCCACCGCCGCAAACTCAGTGCCAAGAAGCCATGCATGCACTGCTTGCCCATAACTGACAAGGTGCTGCGCATGAAGCGGGAGGAGGCTGCAGACAATGCGATCCAGGTGAAGATTCGCTACCATGGCTGCGGCAAGGAGGACCCACTGACTTGAATAGAAATAGAACCGAACTGGAACTCGCTCTGTATTGTATAATATAGGCCTTAAGTCATCATGCGCAGCGGCTCGGCTTAATTCTCCAAGCCCTGATGCTAAGAGGCCTCGTTCCGCAATTTTCGAACAAGCGGGTGGAACAGAAGTTTGTGTCGATTTGCTTTCCGTGCAAGTTTGGATCTTGTAGTGCCATGTTCAAGGATGACGAGTGGCTTTCTGAGCTGAGCGGCAAAGCCGTGAGGCGGCTGAAGACGACAGCCACGCAAGAAAATCAATTGTGCCCCGTTGTCGGTCATCGAGATCACGCGAGTCGCGCCGAACGTGAAGGTATCCAGTCACTTGTTTCAGCAAACGGAGCCTAGGTGCGACCGGCTTACTTCACCGCTGCTGTGAGCTTGGCACTTGTCATGTCGGATAACAACACTTGCAAGGGTGCAAAATCATCAAACTCTCAGCCATCCCGCGCGGCTGAGCTGTTCTTGGGGCAGCATCGTTGCTAAGGATGTGCACGCTCTGCCGCCTTCTTGCTGGTGCCGTACTTAGACTGCTTGAAGGATGGGAAGTAGTGGGCACAGAAGCGGGCTGCTTGTCAGGACAAGGCTGCGCAAAAGTCCCAGGCTCTCGAGGCTGGTTGTTCGACTGCCATACAAACCGCTAGCTCAAGATGCTAACGGGAAAACAACTTCAACAAAACGACAACCATAATTCTGGGACCCACATCCTGGTTTCTTTCAGGGAACTTCTGCAATCTTCGTATGTGAAACAGTCACTGAAAAAGGGTTTCGGTCGGCCCTGCACAGGTCGCCTCGAAAAGCCCGCTCCTGCTCGGAGTCAGGTGCGCGTGCACGCGCCCTGCGCGGTTCAGACACACCGAAGGTACCGTCTTTGCAGCTGCCTGCAGAGGCATGCGAACGATCAATCTGGAGCCTTCCTTCGCCCAGTGCGCTTCCGAGAGGGTACACGAACGGAAGCCACAGGGTTGGCTAGCTGAGGCCTGCGAGCACTTCCTCTTTGCGAACATGCCGCCTGATCGCATCCTGACATCCGCTGAGCAATATTAAGTTGAAATTGAGTGAGGCTGCTGGTTGCGTCTCTTGCCCCTGGCGTACTGGCTGGCAGCCGGTCCCCCAGCATGAGTTGAAGCTGGTGCTGCTTGCCCCTGGGGTGACCCTGGGCATCTTGCAGTCAGTCCGCTTTTATGTTGGTGCATGCCATATATTCCTTTGCTCTATCGAATCCATAAAATTGTTTGTCGATGAGCTTGTTGCATTCACCTGCAGATGTCCGGGAACCCATGCGCAGCGAGGTTTTGTAAGAATGCACAGCTTCGAGGTCGTGTGATAACACGTGGGACAATTTCGGACAGCACAACGCTTTCCAGTGCAGGCCTTGCAACTCTCGCGCTAAACATAGCAGCACTGCGTACAGGTCTCTCTCGGGATTGGTGTCCGCTGTTGCATGGCTTGCCAGCCGCCCAGCATCTTGTCAGTGGCTAGTGGCATCAGTCATCAGATTTGATAAGATTTTCTGAAGAGCCAGATGAGTGGCCCGTCACAGCTGCCTTTTTCTTGGAGGTTATCACTGAATCTGAAGATTCTGTGCCTGAACCTGCTGGCCTCGGACAACCAGAAGGCAGACGTGCATCGAAAGCTTCCTGAATCTGTTTTTTCTTATTCCGTGTCTCTATCTTCCCGTCTCTCTGTGCGCGCCCTGTGCCGCTAAACCCAGACAGCACAAGCTCGTGCCTGCAATTTGCCATGCTCTTTAGATTCCTACTCTCATGTAGTCCATGGCTCTCGACTCAGTGGGACGAAGCAAAGCCCGAAAAGCTGCAGGAACCGGCTCGGGGCGGCAGTCTCCTGGTCCGGCGAGGCTCCTGACTCACACAACTTGTCACAACAAGTCGTCTCACAGGTCAGAAGTGATTTCACATGTCTGCATCGCTTCAAGTCTCGGATGCTCTGTGGCCTTAGTCAAGTTCTGCGAGGAACTGCTGCATGTCTGCCGCGACAGAAGCTGTGGTATCCGGCCAAGAATCATCAAGCCAACATGAAGTGATAGTTCAGTCTCGCACCATGGCAGCTCAGCTGCGGCATCTGCAATTGAGGCTGCGACTGTGCCGGTTGTATTGCGCAAGCTTGGAACTCAGTTCAGAAGCCCTCGTTTGCAAGCTAGGAGCATTCATGACTGTCGAATGTACTGAAACCCCATTGTCTGGCATCGTACGGTGCGTCAAGCCATACCAGTCCACGCGCCGCGCGGCGTATGACTGACTGGCTGGCTGACTGACTGACTGACTGAATGTCCTGAAAAGTCGTTTATGTTGCGCATGCACTAACCTGACACCAATGAGGAAGCCTCTGGTTTCCGCGCAGCACCTGACAGCTTTCAGCAGCATGCAGTACACAACAAACCTCACACCACACCCGTCTGACATCCACCCAAGGTCCAGATAAGCCTACGCCTATCAATGCTGGCTTAGCCAGGAGCCTCACGCGCCAAATTGAAAACAGTTAGATTCGACAATGCGAGCATCGTGCGCGCTCCCGAGAACCACGAGCCTGACCAGCCTGGTGGTATGCTTGCGCCATTGTCAGCATAAACTCTTGTCTTGGTAACATTGGACCACTTTCAAGGGTCGTGACGGTGAAGACTGGGCGCATGGCCACAGCAGGCCACGACCTGGCCCTTGAGCTCACAGAGCACTTCCTGCGAAGGTGCCCCGCAAGCTTGTAGTTTCCCAGGGCAGCCAGAAGAAGGCCTTCTGTCTAGAACACGGGAGCTCGTGGAGGTGACGGTAGATGTGACAGGAGTTCACGGCAACAGTCTGCATGGTACTAGTACCAGCCTTTGAGCACATGTGGCCAGATCAATCGCCAAGTTCCGTTTCAGTTTGCTTCTGACTCGACAGAACGGCGGAGACTGGCGACGAAGCGAGGCAGCTCCCTTGGGAGAGCCTGAAAGGCTGCATTGCCGGCGCCCCTGAATCTTAATCTTGGCGCAGGACGCTCTGAAGTCCTTACAGTTGACGCTGCCATGAACTCACGAAGACAGATGTCAATGTCTGTTTGTCTCCGCTCCTGCAGCTTAAGCTCGTTGTCAGGCCTTCAGCTAAGACGACTTTTATCAGTGAAGCCGCGCCGTAAAAAGTGGTTTCATGCGCGGCGAAGCCGTGCCGAAATACGCCGTGGTGGTGCGGCTGCAAACCCAACCCTACATAGACTTTTTATAAACTCTCCATAGCCAGATATTAGCCAGCCATGTCCTCGACATTTTCTCCAGCTTTCTGCTTCCACTCTCTTGGCCTCTCGTTAGTGCCATGGTTCTTACCGCCGCTGTCGCACTTGGCGCTGGGGCGGTGGGTTTCTGGCTGGGGAGGCGCGCAGAGGCATTCTGCAAAGTCTCTTTGCTTTCTTCGCCCCTGGCAGAGGCAGAGCCGGTCGCAGAAAGTCTCTCCGGCACGGCACACGGCCTCGAGAACTCCGCGAACCGAGGACGTGCTCAGACCAGTCGTGACTTCTCCTTTGTCAGGGAGGTGACGGGAGGTGTGTTTTGTCATCATGTAGACTCGGGTGCTGATTGAAGGCTAAGGAAATAAGTATAACTTAGTATAGGCGAGGCAGGATCCCAGTGTCATTTTCATTGTCACCGTCTGCGCATGTCTGGGTCGTCGGGAGTACCGCCTCGGGCTCGGAGGAAGAGGCCATCTGGACACTTCGCGCGAAGGCGGTGCTCCGGCCACAGCTGTCAGAGCATCCAAGAACGCATCTCTGCTTTGCTTTGGGGATTCGGCAACGAAGGAAGAAGATGACGAGGATGCAGTGCGCATCCGTTTAGTTCACATCAATGATGTGTACATCATGGACAATTTGCACCTCAGCAGCTGGTGTGACGTCTATGCATGCCCAGACACAAGACTTGGGATTGGGATCTTCTGCTCACGGCCGCATGACCGTTTCCTGAGGCCACGCTTGAGGAAATTCTTAGACGAAGCAAGGCTGCAATAGACAGCCTTTCCAGCAAATGCTGCCCAAAGCTGCTTTCCTCTTTTTGACCTCGAGCTCGCACCAAAGTAAGGACTGCTGCTTTGGTATACGACGTGAGAACCTGGTCGTTTGCGTTGGAGGTGACCTTCTTTCACCATATCCTCTGAGCACGCTGGACAAAGGCCGAGGAATGGTAGAACCTCAGTGGCACGTGCGTCATCAGCTTCCAGCGGAGTGCTCTTCCGCTGCTTTCAGCTGTGCTCGCCTAGGAGGTGATGTTGGAGAGTGGCGTGCAATATGAAGCTGAGCTGCAAAGGAATGCTATGCATAAGACATAAATTATGTTGATCTAAGCCCCCTTCTCTTGACCCTGCTTTACAGAAGCGATTTACTCATGTTGTCACAATCGCAATTGCCTTCAGAACATGGCGTGCGCGCAAGGGCGGGCGCAAGAGCGCGCAAGGGCAGTAACACGGCTATAATATCGATCAACCCCCTAATGATATGGCTTGCGCGTTTTGCAGCGTTTTTGGACTCCTCATGTGTTGCCCTGCAGGCATGCTTCGGAAACCACGAGGCAGACGTTGACCTCCGATCGCTGAAACAGCGGCTAGAAAGATGGCGCGAACGTATGGATCTAAGTTGGTGGTGCCCGAGCGCGCGATTCGTCAACGGTGTTGTTACGCCTTTGCTACCTGTTGTTCTGAGGAGGAGGGATTTGGATCAATACCAACATGCCGGACTTGCTGCCTGAGCCACCAGTCGAAATCCAGGTTGTAGCTTGCTTGATGCCTCGAGCTTTGAACTCTGAGATATCCAGTGAGCAAAGGCTCGGCTTGCCCACGTATGCCAGCGTCGTGGGTTTGTCAAAGGCCGGACATAGCAAAGTCTGGTGTTCCTTTTCTTTGCAGCATTCCAGGATGGGGACAGTTCACGGCAGCTTTGCCTGCTGGGTGTCTGCACAAAGGATCCAAGCCTTTACACAGTCCTTCCCTCAGCTACTCAGACTGGCTTCCGAGGGTCAGACGTAGGCTAAGCTGAGCTCAGCACAGGACGATGCAGACTTCGGTGGTGCCATTAGCACCGCTTTGGACTGCAATGAGTGCATCCGCGATACAGCCAAAGAGCTGAAACTCGGCCAAGCAGTTTTTCCACCATGCCCAAGTTAAGGCATCCCATTTGCATCCCCATGGGTTGCTTCAGGATGGATCTACACAAGCTTGATCCAGATGCACAGAAAGTGGATGCGGTGGTGGCACCTAGGATGACCAGCTTGTTCCTGCCATTGCAGTAGGTTGCCGCTGTGGTACACGTGTGCTCGGGCCGTTCCAGCACTTGTGGCTTTGGCTGGCTACAAGCTCAGGCACTGACCCACCAGGACCTAGCAGTGGACATCGAGCCACTTGGAGTCTGGTGGTGAGCGTTTTCAGCACTGCATGGTTGTGGGCTGCATGTCCCGATTGCCGTATTGACGTAGGCCTGACGCAGTTGCAGTCCCTTTATCGCAAGGCTCGCTACGATTGCTCGGTCAAACGGTATCCATGCAGCCCTTTGGCCACGTTGGCTTTCCCAATGCATTGGGAAGCGCCGCCTTGTGTGAGTCCTTGTGAGGTATTGGGAGGGCACGACCACACCGAGTACTTGGACCAGCACAATGGTTGCGTCCTTCTGAAGACCGGCGCCTTTGGCAGCAGAAGATTCGGCCGTGTCTGTGTGTTGGCTGTCGCCACTGCGAGGAATGGATGCTCAGCGTGTTGGCGTGGTAGACCTGCTATGGCAGGGAGACAAGGCTGCCCACTACAGCCGTGAGAGTGAAGGTGCAGAAACGGTGAAAGGCAAGAGACAGCAGGTCGCATGACAGCAGGTGCAGGCGGTGGAGGCATCTGCAAAAGTAGTTCACTGTAGCAGCACCGTAAGTCTTTCCGTGCCTTTGGAGCTGAGCAGCGACAGGATGTTCCGACGATCGATTTTTACGATCTCATTCCCTTGGCCAGCTTTGCTACAAGCAGGGCTGCGCCCTGACTGTTTTGTGAATTTTCCTTCCCAAACTAAAGCATGTCGAGCAGTTGGCTCTGCAAGCGTCGTCCCACTAGAATTTCTGTCATGGGATTGTGCATCACAGCTTAGGTGAGCAAATCTGTCCAGAAGCACATGAGGAAGCTCTGGAATCTGGAGCAGTTGAAGGCCTCACCGCTCTCTTGACCGCCTTCTCTCGCTTCCTTGTCTCTGCATGCATCATGAAGATTGCCGGGCCCAGTGGGGAAGTCGGAGCATGGCCATGCAAGGAGGTACCAGTAGTGGTCAAAGGAGTCAAAGACGACAACAGCATGTAAAGGCATGAAGCCTGAAGGCTGTCGGCCCTCAGATGCACCAAATTCTCGCCATCCAGAAACGGTCGCTAATGCCTGCGAGTGCAACATGGTGAATGAAGTTATGCGAGCTGCCTCATGAACATGCAAAATGGAATGTGCATATTATGTGTACGTCTCCGTGTAGCTACGCGACATAGCATGCCTTTCGACTTCAATGCCCGGCTTCACTGTCGGAGTGGAGCCTTACCTCGTAGCGTGTCGATGTTGAACAATCGCCACCACTGAATCACCGCACTTCGAAAAACAAGGGGATGTCGTGATTGAGTTGCTTGTCGCCAGGCCCGGGTTCACCTCAGCGTTTTCCCGGAGCAGCCCGTCATGTCCTCCAAAAACATCCGAAAACATCAGCCGGAGTCTCAGTGGAGCCTCTGCTTCGGAGACAGAGGGGTGCATGGACCTGTTCGACGAGGACGACCTTGGGCTCTTTCCTCTGCAGCGCGCTTCGGGACGAGATGCAGGTCGACTGCGTGCTCTTCGATGGAGGCAACATCCGAGGAGCCAGAAGTTACGGGGGTCCCTCTGAGGCTGATGCGAATTCGAATGAGTCGTGAGGAGATCGAGACTACATCCCCAGCACGGAGCATTATCTGGGCTCCCGTTGGGTCTTCACTCTCTCCGACCTGGAGCTGGTGCGCCTCCGAGCCGGTTCGTTCGTTGCTTCGAGCTATACTATACTTCTTTGCTTTGCACAGGAGCTTCCCTGGAGTTCAGGCATGGTGGAGATAGTCCGAGCCTCATCACATCTCAGCTTGACCGGCAAATCGATTCTTATCGGGGCGACAACGACGTGAAGCAAACTGTGAGCCAGACCTTCGAAGTACGATCGAGCTAGTAACCTTCAGAGACGTTTGCACATTGGAGCATCATGGGAGGTGCTCGATGGCGAGCAAGTCGCACGCGCTGTGCGGCTGTCACGAACGCTCAAACCTGGCTCGGGGGGCTTCCTGCAGACCGACGAGGGCCTTTGGGTCAGTCCCGAGGACCAAGCCCAGGTGCTTGGGTGGCAAGCTGGATGTAGAGGCTTATCGTCAGAAGGACCGGACTGACAAGCAAAATGCACCCAGAGTATCACAGCGCATGCTGGAACCGGCTTAGGTCACGCACATCGCAAACGAGCAATGGAAGAAGGACAGGAAGTACCGCATCTCGGCAAGCAAACTGCTGAGCCGCGAAGCTTGATTGTCGGAGGATTTCGGTGGAAAGAAAGGCTCTGATGCCTGGCTGTGCCCAGGTGTTGGCATGATGCACAGCTCGCTCGTCGGTATGAACCACAATCCTGTCTTCGAGGTGCAGGGTCTCAAGATCATCTCAAGCGTTGACAGCCATATTCGCGCGGCGTCTCTTGTGGATGGAATGCTGACAGAAATTCTGGGCAGAGCACGCCCAGTAATTCCCTGCAGGAGTGGTGCAAGGCCAATTCCAGCCAGATTCCGAAGGACTAGTCAGATCTGAGTGCAGAGCGATTGCTGAGTTTATGCGAGTCAGCCACTGTACGTCCGATTTCGATCTCGCGCTGTTCCTGTCTCCCCGGCACATGCCATGGTGTAACTTTGAATCAGGAGGATTCTTCAAGGCCTGCCAAGGAGCTGATTAAGAAACAGCTCGCTCGGCGTGTCTGGGAGTCTTGGCAGCAACGAGCTTTCGAGCGCGACATGGAGCACTGATAATACAGACAAGCGAAGCGGCGAAGCCATGTCCCAGGATCAGCTGCCAGAATTCCACGACATGAACACCTCGCACTCTGGGGCGCTTTCAAAGGACGAAGTCATTCAGGCATACAGGAAGACGTTTTCGAACTCTCCAGATGCAGTGCCCTCAACTGGAGTAGCAGACGCTTGCAGTGATGTAAACGTCAAAAAACCCTGACGCACTGCGAAGTCCGAGGCCGCTGTGGAACCTTCTGTAGATCAATTGATGGCTGTAGCGGACTTTGTCCAGGTCTCAGATGCTGTAACTCTGCACAATGCTGCGGTCTCGCAGACACTGCTGCCATTCAGGGCGAGAAGGGGGAGTTGTCGCCCGCCAGCTACCAGGGCATCTTCAGGTGCGGGGGTCAACGGGGTTGAGCTACGAGTTTGAAGTTGTCACATGGAGCTGTCGGAGCTGGCTTTCTCGTTCGGATGATCATGAAAATACCCAGTGAAAGGTTGCCGACTTGGGTCGCCCTGAGTTACTTCACAGCGGAGCAGGCAAGAGAGCGTACCAGTCCATGTTCTAGCATCCATACATGCAGGCTGACGCACGCCCATGTGCCTGCGCACCCAAGCAGCCAACTCACCAACCCACCCCCCTCACAGACACGCACTCAAGACGCGCGCTGCCATGCACCTTAAACTGACTGACTGTGGTACGAGCGATTTCAGTGTCATATGACTGGATGATGCAATTTGACGGCAGTCCACTGGAGCCCAAGGCATTCTGCGCGTGTGTTCCCTGTTTGTGAGCTCGAGGGGCTTATTGGCTCGCAGGCTTAGGCTTAACAGGCCTCATTGTGATCGATTGTGCGAAGATATCGTCAAGTCACATTAGGACACCGCAAGGAGGCCACCTGCACTCTCACAGATGTCCTACAGAGATCATAAGCCAAAGTCGGACGGAGCATCGCTCGCGACCGTTGCACCTCTATCAAAGTATCTCCAGCTAAGCCGACATTTGCGGTCGCCATGGTTGATGGGGAAGGTTGGCCGCTTGGACACTCACAAGACTCAGACCTTGATGCAGCTCTTGACTTCTGCCAGGGATCCTGTACGTGGAAGCCGTGGCAGTTTGTGCTATTTGCTTGTACAACTTTCGCTTCATCCACAGTATTCGCTGCAGCCTCAACTTTCCCAGCAGATATAGCCCAGATAAGAGTTAACAGTAGCTTGAGAATCCGAGGCTTGTACAACAACATCTTATCCTGGCAATTTACCATCTTGGCTCTGCACGTGGCCCCGGTATTTTCCATGAGATGTCTGGGACCGGGTGCAGATCGGCTGTGAGGTGAAGGTTAATGTCTGGTGATTCATGTTTCCATGGTGCCCATGTTCACAAGAGGACTCAGCCACGCCGTGGAGTACAGATGCGCCGTGTTCTGGGCTCTGCTCTCTTGGGGATGTCGGGCATTCCTTCCGTCAATCTTCAGCCTGGCCATGTTGCTGGTTGAAGCAGCCGCTTATGCAAGCGACTTTGCGAGAACAGCAGTGTTCGATTTTCTTCCGAACATCGGAACTAAAGTATGTGTCGCTTATAACTTCCCCTATCGTATGAACCATCACTCCCCAACATGACAATGTGTAAAGTTTGGAACCTGAGCCGGTGCCATTTCGTACTGTAAGTCGATGTTTGAATCTCTGTGGGTTGAGACTGGAACTGCGCTTTGTCGGCCAGCCAGCGCCGCTGCTCCTGCAGACTTCTAGTGGCACAGGATGAGGAGGAGGCGAAGGAGGAGAAGGAGGACCCATAGTGTTTCCCTGCGCCAGCCGCAAGCCCAGGACATATCACCGACAGACAACAGATTTTGTTCGCGATGTATTGATAAATCGCGCAAGGGATGACATGTCCTGAGCTTGGGCCCAATGTTTGTGTCGTAGAGTCTTAGACCATATCACTGGCAGGTGATTTGGACTCGGTGCTACTCGAAGCGCTTTTCCTCCTTCAGCTTGTCATTGCCTTCGGAGCCTGGTCGGGGATGCTGCTTGCAAGTTGTTCCCCGACGGCAGATACGATGACTTTGCCCAGCGGTGGAAGACGTGACGAACACCCAGAGAATCGGAGCTAAACTTCTGCAGACAAGGGGATGTTTCGTGCTGTTCCCGGCTAACTCGTGACTACATATGTATCCACTGGTTTTGTAGTGAGATCTGCAATCCCACGACGTCTGTTCCTTCTCGGTTCCTCTTGTTTCGCTCCGGTCAATCACATGACGGACGTTAGGCTGTAATGTGGCGCTGAGATTCGGTGAGCCTGTTTAGGCTTCAGCAGCTTCACGTTCGTGCCTTTCGACCGGCACCTGAACAAGGCCAGGTGGGGACAGGGCCATGCCGTAAGGATGAGAATTCTCCTTGCGAGGGCCTCCGGCACTTTCGTGCTTCCTCAGCCGCACGACGGTGTTTCCTGCATGAGCAACGTGGACTGCACTAGTGCTGCGCATCGGAATTGGTGCTGGTACAGTGCGTCTCAGTGCAGCCTGGGGCTCCCAGGTTCTTGAGCCATTTTGTTGTGCAGATGATCTTTGCGGACATCATTCGGCGCAGACTCGGGTATGTTCCGAGCTTGTGGAGCGCGGTGCGCGGTGCAATGCCAATCCAGGTACCACCAAAGCTTTGCTTCAACATGCTTCAACGGTTGGGGTGCCAATGATATGCGCTGCACTGGTCAGGCTATTTATGCGGCGCTCGTCCTGACCACAGCAATTCTCATCCCGCCGCATGGACTTCCTTACAACCTTGGTCAGGCCGACGAGTAAGCTAGATAGGCCAATTACCATAAGTTGGACTGAGTTGGCAGGCTGCCAGTAGAGTCCTCCAACCGAACACGAGTCATGACAGATGCGTAGCTGCCCCGCAGATCCCGAAGTTCCTTCGGTTCCCCGTGGCTCGTCAGCAGTACCACGGGTTGCATGCCCCATCTTCTCTTGGACAGCCAGCTTCCGACATCTTCAGACTTCCTCAGGCGACTCCGTGGCTGCCTCGACTGCTCGTGGGTGAGGGCGCTGTGACTCGTGCCTCAGCTCAATGCGTGAGGTTTTTTCCCCACACGCTGTGTACTGCCATGCTTGGCTTGAGCCGCAAGGTGTGAATACCAGGTTTCTGCCGTGGTGGGCACGAGTGGCAGCTGACCAGGACCCTCGAGGCATGGCAACCGGTGCTGAGCAAGTGCCACGCGGCTGCAGGACCACGTCGCCGAACCCTCCAAGAAGAGATGACCTCCGGCAACACAACAACAGAAAGGTAATGTCCTCCTCCACGGTCCCACGGGTCCAAGGGCACGGCGGACCAGGGTCCCGCTACCAGAATCCGGCCACAGAGTCGAGCAGCCTCCTGGCTTCGGTCGAGAGTCGAGAGCCGACCTCAACCGCACGTAGAATGCAGCGGACGAGTGCTCCAAAACGTTGTGCGGCGAAGACAGGGAAAAAGGGGCGAGCGCACCTCCATGCACGAGCAAGAGCACTCTCGATGAACTGTTGCTGCTGGCATTCGTAACTCTGACGGCTTCTTAGTTAACGCAGTGTGACTGATCACACGCTGGACTCAAGCTGTCCTGTCCACCTGGCAGGAGATGTCTTCCAAGGACGCCTGCATCAAGCAAACGAGCATGGGAAGCTTTCTTTGCCCAACCGCCGTGCTTTCCCAGTAAGCCAGTAAGCACAGCTGCGAGAACGGCGGCATCAGATTTCAGATGGCAGAAGAACTGCCACAAGTAAAGAAGCGCAGGGACGGTAAATGCAGCGTGAGGCAAGACTTGGACAGGCACTTCTGTTAAACCTGCTCGTTACTGTGTAAGCACGGCCAGCGACCGCAGTAGGATTGGGCTTCTGAGGTTTTGTCCCCAAGCACCCTTCGTAGGGATATATTCTGGTAATCAGGGGCTGGGAGTGCTATGCCAGGTGATGCTCTCCGTTCTGAGCTTGACGTGGATGTCGTGCTGTTCGATGGCGGCAACATTCGAGGTCCTACCAGTAGCGAAGCATCACAATCGGGCCAGATTGTCAGTGTACCAACTTCCATGTTCTAATTTGTATGCATATTTCTTACCAGAGCCCAGCTGCTTCGCCTTGTCAAAGAGGCAACCGTGACTACGTTCCAGTGAAAGGTCATCACAGAGGGTCCAAGCATCTCGGCATGCACAGGAACCGCACTGCGTCAAAAGGGGCACTGGAAGAACAGAACGTGGAGAGAGGGAGCGGGCCCAGTGGGCAGTAAAAGATGGTGAGATAGTGAGAACGGGCGAAGGAAGAACACAGTTGTCGACAAGGCTCGGGCTAGGTCAGGAGGCATGTTGGAGGATCAGCACAACTAACGGAAGGAGGTCCGGTGGTGTGCCAACCTTCAGCAGATGCATTGGAAGCAAGCAAGAGCAGGCGAAGAAGAGCGTAAGTGCTGTCTGCTGCCGAGGTGGGCGTTTACAGCCGGCTGCCAAGTCTCGCCATGGAAGGTCCACGTTTCCGGGAAGCCTTGAGCCTATATGTGAGGTGACGGATCTTCGAAGGGAGCTTCCTTGGCCATCAGAGATCGCCATCGTTTCCATGACCGGGGAAGACATCAACAAGGCGATAAGAAGAACGTCTGTTGCGTGAGAAAACCCTTGACGCTGGGTGAAGCCCTCTTGAGGCTGTCGTGTTCTCAAGGAAACATGCAGCTCGGCTTGACATGCATCATGGGAGCAACTGAAAGACGAGGTGCAGCATAACTTAAAACAGCGCTCTGGCGCATTGTGTTGCTTTGGAGTGTGCAAGGTTTGCGATTGGGGTCCTCCTTCCATTGTAGCTCTGGGTATGTAGCTTGGCTTGCAGTGGGAGTTGAGCACCCTGCAAGCTCCGCATTAAGGCGACCGGCCGCTTTGTGCCTTGGCATGCCTTGGCAGTTTCATGCAGCCCGGCCCGCCGTGCTTGCGAAAAGTCCAAGCCAACATCCATGGAAGTTGCCGGGCATGGCAAGGCCGACTTCCTCCGAGTCCAACCACCGGTGAAGACGAAGTCTGGACGGCTGGCCAGCAAAGTGGCGGCTGCTTGGCCTCGATGCGGCAAGCGGATCCCGAAACTTGCTATCTTCTCATGCGGTGGCGCATTTCCACGACCGGAAAACTTGAAGCGTCCTAGCAGTTCTACGAAGCGATTTGGCTTGGATCGCTTTGAAAAACTGCCTGAGGCAGCGGGCGAAGCCATGGTACAGGAGCCAGTTCCTGGCGGTTTCCTGCAGACGAACAGCCGCACACAGGCCGCTGCCTGGGGGGTGTTTCCTTTCTTAGGTGCAGCTGTCTTGAGAAGCAGGTTACAGACCAGGCGGTCACCCACATCAGCGGGAAGCCCATCGTGAAGAGCAAGAGGCAAAGACGAACTTGCCAAGCTCTGCCTATTCCGAGTTGCGATATGGCAAGAGATTCTATGACAAGCCAAGAGAAAACCTGTTGTCGAGCTAGCAGCTAGCAGCTATTGCCTGTTGCGGCCTCACTTTGAGCCGTGGCAGGTACAAAGTTGCTTTGGCCTTACCGGAAACGAAGCAGTGACTCATATAGACACTGATGTCACTTGGGGACTTTGTTTCGAGGCCTTGCTCCACGCGGCTCTTCGTGGGATGAACGGCAACTCAATTTTTGAGATTTGGGCCAGCACTCAAGGCAGGCTCTGAAACCCGACGAAGCATGTCGCTCCTCCCCGAGCCTTCCTGGCCCACGTCGCAGGCAATGTTGTGCCGCCTTTCGAAGCCTGCCAGCCTGCGGCAGATTCCCGCCTGTCACTGGCCATCTCTTGCTGCTACCGACCGACCTCAACAAATCCCCTCCGAGGAGCACCTCACGCGGCACTTCACACGACTTCTGTGGCTGCCGCTTGGCATTGACGATATCCGAAGGTGTGTTCAAGGAAATGTGCGGTAAACTGGTGCCGCGACGCCGCGCAATCGCTCTGCTGCGACGCCTGTGTGTAAAGTAAAGCTCAGGGATGTTTAGGGTTGCATCTCAGACTTGCATACGGCCCACCTTTCACGATGTCCCCTTCATTCGTGGATGTGAGAGCCCAAGTCAAGTCGCTGACAAGTCCTGGTCCAAAAGCCTACTCTACCCGTCTCCAGACGCCCAGTCTTGATGCAGATCAGGAGAATGCCCAGCTTTCAGATATTGGACGTGGATAAGGCTGCTTTGGGGGCCTTTGAGAGTACCGGAAAGGAGTGCAGTCCATGTTCAGCGCATTGCGACTCCTGACTGCCAGAGCAAGACGATCTCCCGCGATGAGCTCTTGGAGGGTATCCCCAAGGCTGGCAGATTGGTTTCGGCATCTGCCTTCAAAGCTTCTTCTGCGCTTTGATGCCTTCAAGGGGTTTCCTCGTGCAAGAGACCCCAACATTCGGCGGTCACTGCTCCGAAGGCGGGGATGGACCGGGTAAAGAATAGCCTAAGCTCGTCCGGGCGTGTCATGCATGTGCTTGCGGAAGACTTGAGGCTCCTGGCGACGATTGAGCTTGACAGCTGGCCCCTCAAAAGTTCGCCACAGTCAAGCCGGTTGGTGCTGCTGAAACTCAGGTACCGGACATATTACAGAGGAGCAGTACTTGCAGCTTGGCCCACGAGGTTAGACACACGGAGGTCGCAAGTGAGCGGACGGCTGCTGGCGGCGGTGGGCAACCCGAGCGAAAATCACTAAGGAAGTTGCACACGAAACTGAAGGATTCGGACAGCATCAACTTCGCCGAGGCATGGCCGCGGAAACTGCACGAGCCCTGTCAGCTGTCATGGGTCATAGTCCTGAGTCAGGGCGACGTCTTCTGCGACTGGGCCTACTGGAATTCGCCGCAGGGTTGAGCTGCGGGGATGCCGATGACTCATCACCCGATGTGGCAGGCCACGAAGTACGTTGAACTATGCGGGCTGCGTGGTTCTATAGCCAGCACATGTGCAACAGCGGTGACTGAGCAATGTCTGAACAGGCGCCGGGCAACGGGAGAACCCCAGCCAGCCTGCTGTGCCTGAAGGTTTAGCTTCCGAGTACGGCGCAAGATGCAGTCAGATGAAAGCTCACAGTGGCACTTTTTCCTGAAGCTCATGAATCAGATTGCCCTTGATGGCAGCATGCCCATGGCAGGCTTTGCTGCCAAGGGGTTTATGTACAGAGCCGGCGGCCCCTCGCAGTGTTTGAACGTTGCAAAGTTTACAACGAAGTCTGGCGAAGCGCCTGCCTCGGAAAAGCGTGGCTTCGCCGGAGCCGGAGCTCCGGCACCTCGGCGCTGTGGTCGCATCATGTCGCATCCACCGAGGGCCACCTCTTCGGGACAGCAAACTCGCTGTCCGGCTCTCAGGTTGAGCCACGGCCACGGACGTTCGAGTCGAAGTTTGCGATTTGGCGAGGACCTTGAAGCGGATCTCAGCGTCAGAGGACCTCTTCACCTCTTCTATGGTTAGCTGAAGCTTGTTCGCACTCTTCATCCCAGGACTCGCTTCTATCCATGCCGCACATTCTGCTCAGTGGTGCCTTGCGGACCGGAGGCCCCACGAAACTTGGCAGCATGTGATGCAGCTGTCAGACGTGGGGTCTTATTTCCTGGTGTCGTCTATAAAGCAAAGCGAATTGACCAGATGCATCGGAGGAGAGGCTAGAGTTGAAGAAATGTAATGAAAAAGGTTGCCGATTTCCTGCGCTTGTCGTTCTGATCTCAGGATCCAAGCATGGCGGGAGAGGTGTCGAACCTGGCAAGCAGAGGCGCCGCGAGAGCCAGCGCATCGGAGCTGGATGCCTTCCGTTGCGAGCACATAGTTTAGTTTTCGCAGCTACTTTTGTTTCTATATCTGACCGGTCAAGTGGACGCTTGCATCCCAAATTTGTGAGCACAGGGTATTGTGGAATCGTGGTGTTGGTCATTTGGGTGCTTAGCAGAGGCCGGACTGACAAACGCACTCACCCACACCTACGCACGCATACACAAATGAGAACGAGCAGCAAAGAGGAAGGCAGCCTCGCCATGCCTCTACATACAAGAGAACCTGTGGTAGGGCTTGGCGTAAAACGTTTCACTCTCAAAGGTTCTTGCGGGACTCAACGGCGCAGGACTTTAGGGTTGCCCAGATGCTGTTAGGGCTTTCGAGCAACCTGTGTTCAAGAGAACGACGGTAGCACGTGACTGGAGGCTTCATACTGATTAGTTCAGGACCGCACATGTTCGTAGAATCTGAGCGCTCGCTATCTCATTCCGTTGTCAGTTTTGCTTCACGACTGCTATCATTGCAGTTGACAAAACTTCAGGTAGCGGGCTTTGCAACAGATCTTCAGCCTGGGTGGTTCATTCACTTCATTCTCCGGCCACATTCTGTCAGGTTCCGGAGACAGATGCTCCAACTGCGTGGAAGGCTCTGGACGCTTCAGATGCGAAGGTAAACGCAGTGCATGCCATGCAGGTACTGTAAGACATGAATGTGCCCATTGCTGAAGACAATGAAGCTCATGACCAGAACTGTCCCGTCGCAGGGTACAATTATTCCTGGCAGGTGAGCTTCAGAGCCTTGCGCAAGGACGCTCGACAGACTGACAAAGCTGGATACTGGATCAGAGAGACCTCACAAAATCTGCTGCGACCTGCTCCAGGAGGAGACAGCAGCAAGCAGTTGTCATCAGGACAGAAGTTGGCGCATGACTATGTTTGTATATTGCGCATGACGGCTGGGGTACGTGCCGGTCACGTCAGCTCTCTTCCGTTGTTGGGCCTTGCACAGCTGCAAAACAAGATTCGAGGACGACAAGGAGGACATAGAGACTTGCCGAGTGGTGGCACGCTGCCTGCACCTGGGTGGCAAAGATGCACATGTTCCCCTTGAGGACATTCCAGCCAAGAACGCATTTGCAGCTTTCATCCTGACCTGACACGTCCGAATAAAAATTGCCTGCCACCCTGCACCATCGGAGCAAAACGGGGTCTGCTAGATGACCGCAAAAGCAGAGGGGGTGTTGAACAGCGAAACTGGAGCCTCTCAACGCACCCATCCGCTGTTCCGAGTTCGTCTTCATGGTCGCTGCCTGACATCGACCCCGAGGCCATTACACGTCTGCGAGCCTAGAGGCTTAGGCAGAAGAAACTTGTCGGTTACCGATTTTGAGTTTTCGTTTCCCCCTAATATTACAGCCCCCCTAATATAAGAGCTGATTTCCGGCAGATTGTTTTTTTTTTATTAGGGGCGGTTTCGGCGCATCCGGGTATGAGTCGGATTGACAGGACTAGTGAGCCAGACACAAAGACCGTCCATCACGCAGCGGTTCCGGCTGTAGCAGACGGTCAGATGTGATTTGTGTAGTCCCTGAATGCTTTCATTTGTCTGGAGCAGGATAGGAGAATCGGACAGGCAGTCGAGCAAGTAATTACAGGAGATCTTCCGTACTTATTTAAAGCCCTGATTAAACCTTGAAGCCCTAGAGCCCTGAGCAAGCCCTAAACCCTAAGCCCCAAGTACTGCTGTAATCTTGGCTCTATTAAAACTAACGCAACCCTAGGCGCCCCCTAATGTTTTTAATTAACTTTCAATTGCGGGCCCGAAACTGCGATCCCGGGGCCGGGAGGTTTCTATATTAGGAGGGTTCAATGTTAGGGGGAAGCGACTCCGAGACGCAGGGTCCACGGCCCCATCTGCTGTGCTTGTCAGAGCTAAAGCAACATGTCAATGTTACCTTTCGACCAGGAACCCCGCAGCGGGTGCAAGAGAGATGGACCGTTCAAGCGCATGTTGCGCCTCGGCAACGGACATTGAGACATCAGCCAGCATGTCAGTTGCGTGGAAGCCCGTTGCAACCCTGCTCTCCTGCAGACTGTTGTTGTGTTGGCGGGCTGCCATGCTGAGGAACAGCAACATGGCCTATTCTATCGTTGGTGAAGAAAGAAAAAGTGGCGAGCACCGCGCCGTTCCGAGAGTATTGACACTGTGACATCGCTCTGCGAGATTTGACATGAAGGAGCCGAAGTATTTTCGCCGATGGCCAGGTGACTTCCAGTCGCAAGCCGATCTCCACTTCGCAGACTCCCGTGTTGTCAAGAACGGCTCTGAGGCACGGGGCGTGACTCGAGCAATTGCATGCAGAGGTGCTTTGGTTGCGGAATCGGAATGCGTGACAGGTTCCACCACACATCTTGGGCCTTGCAATGGCTGTCAATCAGAGGACTGTCGACCTGTCTGCATTGCCGTGACTATGACCCCCCGAACAGTTTACCAAGCTTGCGGTACTAAACTCCTCAAGATATACCGTTTGCTTACTGCTGCATAGTCTTCAGAGTGGGTGCAGCTGTGCTGTCGACGTACACATGCTTAGCAGCCAACGACATTCACCATCAAATTGGTTTTCTTCTTTGCCCCCTGACATCACCCCCAATGCCTGGCCCTCACTCTTTTCATAACCACCAGGTGTTTGCGAGTGCGCGTGTGCTGCTTTTGTTGACGATGCTTTGCCACACGGGAGGGTCGATCCGAGTTCCACATCGTCTCTTCGATTCCTGAAGGCCCGCGAGAATTGCAACTCTTGCTATCAACATCCGCCAACATCTGGGAATTAGCGCCTCACCCCTCTTGACACCGCCTCGCCAGACCTTTTCGACCTCATTGAACTGAGCCTTGCAGTAGAAGTAGACTCAGAGCGTGAGAAGACTGGAGGGCCCCTCAAATTAAAGTCGTCGCGAAGAAGTCCGCCATGCATGACCAGAGAGCATTCTAGTAGGTGGATTTCTTCGAGGGTCCTGAGGTGCCGTATCTAGAAAGATTACTTTCAAAGTTCGGAGGCCGTTTGTTCGCAGCTGGACGTGCAACTCTTCAATGCCTCTCTGGACTCCTTCCAGCCGCAGGCGCTGCAGGGGCCTACTTAATCACGTCAACTGCGCATGCAAGCGCTTCCGCTGTGAGACTGCATCTCATCTGCTTCAGGCTCTTCTGCATCCCTTTACCTTCAATGCATGCTGCATGATGCCGCTCAGCTGCAGCCCGAGCTGCCGGTTGTCTCAGACAGAAACACCCCCTGCGTGGCAGGAACATGCTGCGAACGGAACTCTTGCCGGAACAATGCTCCAAGCCCTTCGACGACATGATCAATGCCGTCGCCAGCATCAACAAGCTGTCAGACGCAGTGGAGGTGGGCTTGGAGAATGAACATTTCAGAAGTGTATGCAAAAACTCAGCAAGGCAGGACAGACCTGCATACATTTTCGCACCGCCAGCTTTGCAGCACGTTATGCAGATAGTCAGGTTTAAATCGCTTGCTCTGTGTAAGTGTAGCTTATTCGTGAATTCTGGCCTTGAGCTGCATAGGCATGTTTGCATGTGGCAACCGTCCTGTAGCGCGTCACCTGCTCGCGAGCAGGCAATTCCAGCCGACGCCCTCAAAGCCAAATTTGGCAAGGAGCAAAGTCAGGTGCGACCAACCTCACCAATCCTGTCCTGTCGTCAGAGCAATACACAATGTAATGTAATATAATATGGCACGCATGCACGCACATAAATAGAGAGCTAGAAGACGGTGTGAACTCGGTGAACTCGCCGTCATCGAAGTTACCATCAGGGCCACGGCAGCCGCACAAGCAAGAACCCGACAACATACATACCTGCAATCAAGCAAGGTATAGTGGATTTGCGCTCACTTGCACCATTATCGGCCTCCTCCTCCTTATCCTCCTGATTGTCATCATCGTCATGATGGGTTCATGTACTTTCGCCTACCTTAGTATGACTGCAGTGCTTCAGCTTCCATCTCATGTGTTGTCGCAAGGCAGCAGCTGCTCTCTTGAAGAAGCGTGAAGAACTTCACCAATTGGTGTTGGAAGCCCCTTGGACGGGCAGAAAGGCCTAAATTCGCGCATCTGGTCACATGGGAAATCTCAAGGGCCTCTTCTCTATCTCTTGCAAAAGTCCCTGCCCCTGCTTCGCTTAGAGGGAGTCACACAGTCCAGGTTCCAGGGCCCCGTTAACATGGCAGATTCCCATAGCGATCAGTCTCTCGAAGAAATGTCAGCATGCAGCCTAAAGTCCTGGGGCAGGCCTACAAGTGGCGGCCTGTCAAAGCGTTGTCATGTCATGTTTGCCGCGAGCCGTCGTCTGCGTCTGCTCTGACAAATGCAAAGATGCCGACAGCTGAAGCCCAACCAAAGATCACCAGTCCAACTATCCTTGCAGCGGAAACTGCTTACTCATCAAGTCTGTCACAGCGAATATTCCTGGAGCTTCACTAGTCGTCTGATCTGGAGCCGCTCGGAAGGTGCCACCCAGCAGGCGACACACAGCACGATGCCAAGACTTTGACAGACCGCTTGGATGTTTTGCGATGTTTGAGGGCTAAAGCTTCGGGCACGAACATGCTGCGATCTTGTCACAGCTTTGGATCAAGCAGGAATGGTGAACCCACATTGGCCCGTAATGGTGGCCCTGCATGCGAAGGGCGCTGCACGCGGTTCATGTTGCAGTGAGAGATACATGGTTACTCCATCATAGTCTGGAGTCAGCTTTAGTCGTAGTTTCATAGATCCCTTGCTTTCAAGTCGGGGCACGTTCCTCCTACACTGACGCCATCACTAGCTAGGGACGCTGATCACTCCACTCACTCCACTCTCCATCGCATTCTCGCTAGCTTTAGGATCTTGGGCTACGGAGTGCCCGAGCATGTTGCAATTGCTGGCAGCCCTATGCACGCTGCAACTGTACAAGGTGTGACACAGCACATCTTCTTAGGTCTGCCAACGGCAGAGAGGGAGTGCATCTGACGCTTCTGTCCAGGCGAGTGCCAATTTCGTTGCATCTTTGCATGCGAACTATGCACCTTGACAAGGAAAACAATTGGCACGGTCCGTTTTTTTGTGAGATTCTGATTTGGCGGTTGTCTGAAGGGTCTGGGAGAGCAGCGGCTGCTGCACGAACCGGCATGGAAGAGTCGTTGTTTCGGTTGGCTGGGTGGGTTTTTCACGACGAAGCGACGGAGATGTATAGCTGTGCATCCGGGAGGTGGTGAACCTGGATTTCGACAGCTCTACCACCGAGGCAGCAGGGCTGGACAACCTCGATGACGAGGCCTTCAATGCTGCCTTTAGAGCCCTTTCGATGCAGCTCGTGTTGTCTTGAGGATGTTAAAGTCATGAACCTGGCGAACGGGCGCCGTAAATTTAGATGCCGACTACCTGGCTGCCAAGCTGCATTCGTACGGATTATTGCGAAAGCTGCAGAAGGGATTAGAACTGGCAGAGTGCCTCCCTGTGACCCCCTTGGCTCGACGTAGCAGCAGTCTGTCCGTGAGTCCGTAAAGTTGTTACGCTGACAAAATAATTGCATCCTGCTTTGTCGGAGCCTCAGGAGGCAAGAACATTTCGCAGCAGCTGCCTGGCGCGCCGGATGCGAAAGCGCACTTCCTGGCAGTGGCCTGGCCGCTTCTCCGAGGCTTCAAGAGGAGGACATGCGAGTTTCGGTTCATGCTGGTATTGCAAAGAGTGGCAGTATGATCAACCCGTAATATTCCGTAATGCCGAGGCCAAGCTCGCCCCATGGCGGGGGAGCTGCCTGACCGTGATCAAGGATTTCTGGTCCTACGACCTCTGCTCTGGCAGCAAAGTGGCGTCTGGGCAAAACTAAGCCTTTCGAAAACTCCCGGCTTTTGGGTTTGGCGACGGGAGAGCGTGAGGAAGACGGAGAGAGCCGGGGGGGGGGAAATGCCTTGCCCGCCCGAAGGTTCAATACCGGGACGATGCTTCTGGGCAAAGATCAATCAATATCCGACTAGGTTCTTGCGATGCCTTGATGCCTTGCAGATGTTCAAAGTGCAGTCTGCCTATTGCCATGTCTGTTCGGGAACAAGGCTGGCATGCGCTTCTCTCTGGGCGAACATCACGCGAAGTCCGACCGTCTCCTGCCCACGGGTGAAGTCCGCGACCGGCTTGCAGACAGCTAGTGCTGCAAAATCTCAGTGTGACAGCTTGTGCAGTTCCTTACGGTGGTTCCAATTGTCCTTCAGAGGATCTGGTTAGTTGGCACGGCACCCGCGCGGCGTTGGCGCGAAGTTCCGAGGCCAATCACATTCTCGCCAAAGCGCACGCGATACGGACTCCCGATCCGCTTCCATTCGAAATTACATGACTTGTGCGCTCTCGCAGCGAGCAAGTCGCGAGGAGAAAACGCGTGGGACTGGGGTGTGAGCAAAATGGGGTTTCAAACTGCCCGAAGGCCCTGAAGTCGAGGCAGGGTCACGCTAAGTCCGTGACTTCCAGGTGTCAACAAAAGTCGGACTGTTCGTGGGCGCGTTTTCCGCACAATCACGCGTGTTTCTGCTTCCAGAAGTCGTGCTCCTGCCACAGTCCAGCATGTTTCCGTCGCACTCACACAGTCGTGCCGTGCACATTTTGGGGCGCAAGTCGTGGTCACAGTGCCGGTGCTACTCACATTTTGGACTTGAAATCACTTCTGGGCTTCCGGTGGTTATATCCAAACTATCCTAGAAAACCGTCTGGGGAGGTCTTGGGACCCCACGGGATGCTCCTGGAATGCTTTCCTAATTACACTTGATGACGAGTGCACACAGCGACTCCTGCAGGCGAGTTGTACCTGGGCGGCACCGACAATCGCAGTACCGAGGTGCCCTGGCCAATGTCGCAGATGAGAAGGGCTCTGCTGGTCGGTCCTGTCAGTCCCTGGGCCCTGCAGTTGAACAGACCACTGCTAGTCCTGCAAGGTCAGATACGTGTGCGGTCGTGGAGATACATCGGCCACATCGCTTGAGGCCGGATTCTTTCAGGTTTTGAACTGGCCCCTGGACCCAAGAAGTCACTCCCTTGGTCTGCCAGAATAGGATCCCATGCCTGTGGCAGGTTGTCGAAGACCCTGTGCATTTCTACACCCTCACAGTCTCAGGACACACTGCCCACAACAACCGCCGTACAGTCCTTGCAGTCACATGGGAGGACCAGCCTTCTGCTCTTGGAAAGACAGGGATGGCGCAGAGGCCGGAATGGGCTTGGCATGGAAATGGAGGGTTCACATCGGGGAGCTCTATGGTGTCCAGGCGAGCGCGCCAGACGGCAGCCGCATGCTTGCTTCGGCGCTGTCGATGCCTCGAAGGGGTTGTACATTCAGGGAGGACTGACTCATCGATTTGCGTCTAGAGCCAAGGTTAGAACCCCTTCGAAGCCGATGTCTCAACATCTCTCGCGGGTGGTGGACGTATGAGCGCTTTAGCTTACAAGAGGCTTACAAGCATGGAGCAGACTTGTCCACACATTGCAAGGTACTGCTACCCTTCGAACTTGGTGCAGTTCCATTTGGAGAATGACAAACGTGCTCCGCAGTACACGCTGGGAACATTGGAGGCGAGGCTTCTGTTATTTTCAGATCTGGACTTCGATGGAAGACATGACAAGACACGTCAGCCAGGAATACCCTGCCGAATCTTCTGATCTTATGCCCTGTAAAGCAAGATTCGCCAGGGGACGGCGCAGAGCAAGTCGCCGAACCGCGTCAACATGAGTGCCCAGACTTATTCTGGCCCGTGGGTATGGTTGCAAGAATGTGACTGCAGCAAGTTGAGAAGCCAATTTGCAGCTGTCAAGTGAAATCATCTCCAGTCTTCTTGGGCTTGCGCTCGAGGCATGATTCGGCTGAAGCCGAGCATGAGCCCGCGGGAGAGACGAGCCCCACCGTGCCTTGGCGTTGAGCCGCTCATCGCTGCTAGGCTTCTCTCATCAGCTCTGGGACAGCTGCTCGTCTTCCTTGTTTCAGGTCACGACACTTGACCCTAGAGCAGCAGCTTGGGGGTGGCAATGAGACTTGGCTGGATTTGGAAGATCTCGTGCCATGCCGCTGGCCAATGCTGAAGCATCGTGCTTCCAGGTTTGCGATGAGACATCACAGCCACGACGCGCAGCGATGCATTTCCAGTGTCCGCCTGACTGGCAGACGAGGTGCGAAGGGGAGAAGCGATATCTTAATGAAGTTCGTCACAGTTACAGATGCACGGACAAAGGACGGCACATGACGAACAAGAAACTAGTAGAACATGGACTGGATGATTCATACGGCCCTACTTTCCAAGCGAACAAGCTACGGAATGTAGAGTACTTCGTTCCAGAGTCATTGTTGTGCTCGTTCAGCACGTCAGGGATGACCACGGTTTCTCACGCAGGTTCAGAACATATGCTGATGTCCTGTCAGAAGCAACGAAGAATGCACTGCCATTCACCTAGTGGCCTGGTTGTCCGTGCTCTTCGTGCTGCGGACCAAGACAGAATCGCAGGAACGCCAGCAGAAACAGCACCAGTGGCACCTCTTGTCTGCGGGTTTACCTGAGGACATGCTGCAGACTGTTCCAGCAGCTCGAAGCGGCACCGCCAGCAACACCGAGAATCAGCACTACCACCCTCAATGACAGTCGCCGAAGCGCAGCAGTTTCAAGAGCGCCCCTAGCTACCAGAGCTAGCCATGTTAAATGCCTGTTTTGCTTTCACTATGTAGAATCCTGTTCCTGCGCCAGGCCCGAGTCTCGCATCGTGAGCGTCACGGAAAGCTCGCTCTGCGAGTACGAGGCCGGCTCTCCCGCGAAGGAAGCGCCCGAAAGCTCCCAAAGGAGAGAAGAGAAGGAGACGAGAAATGAGCAGAGGCAAAAAGTTACCGGGAGGCTCTCCGACTTTGAGGATGGGAGCGAGCGAAGAGCCTTTCGGAACTTCCCAACTCACAAAAAAGCAAACCGTACAAGTGCTGACGCCATTCACGAATTTCTCTTCGCTTAGGGTTTGCCAGCCAAGATCTCCTTTACAATGATGAGAGGGTGTGGTGTTTGCCACTCACGTTCTTCCTTTCAGGTCTAAGGGGATTGTCAGCTAACTGCCGAGGATCTCGTTTGTGGTTTGGGCTCTGCATCCGGGTTTGCCACCCACGTTCGTCTTCTATAGGGTTTAGGTTTGCCTTGAGCCAAGGTCTTGTTTTAGGCGTCCGGGTTTTGCCGACGAACATAGCTTAGAGGGTTCGGGATTTCCCAACAAGCTCATTTTCTTTCGGGGTTTCGGGGTGGGTTTGCCACCCACGATCTACTGTTGAGGTTTGGGATGGTTTGGGGTTTGCCATCCACCGTCTTTTGTAATGATTTGGAGTTCGCCAACCGATATCGTCTATTTTAGGGTTTAGGGTTTGGGGTTATAAACTTAATTAAACTTGACTCCCGATGCTTTGCGAATTTCAAAGGTTTCCGAAATGCTTTCCTGGATGTCGGTACATGTTCCGAATTCTTTCTCTTTGTGAACATGGCAGGTCTTGATCCACACGACGCTTCTTTGCGGCCATCACAAGCTGATGCCGACGCTGCCACGAGGCGCCAGCGTACGCCGCAGCTGATAAGAAAGAGATGGACGGAACATGGAAACCATGCCCTACCAGTAGGGTTGGCAGATCATCTTGCTCAAGGGCAGACAGATCCCAAGTGCTGAAGGCAAAGAGACCATCCAGTGCGTCGCAGACCCCAGAGATGAGGAGCCTGTTGATTGCAGGTTGGCACAAGATTGGCAGGGTTCTTTGATGCGAAGGTTGTGTTGGGCGGTGTGGAACCTGCAGGAGCTTCAGTGAGAACCCACCTTTGTGTTCAAGCTGTCTATCCATCATGGACGAATCGCCTGATCGCCCTGCAGCTGACAGAGATTGCCTTGTACAGCCTGGCCACACAAACCCTGCAGATCGGGCCTAGGGCCTCGGGGGCCTCGGGTCCCGCAACCGAGACATGCGGTTGCACTAGGACCGTAGGAGCTGGAGTCTTGTCTGAAGATAGCAGCCAGCTTGCTGACCCTGCTGCAGCTCCCTGACGTGCGGCAGAAAGAGATGGCTCACAGACATGCGAGTCTCATTCCAAGCCGGACCATCTTGTCGCCAAAAGCATGTCCCGTAGACGACTGAGACTTCCGAATGCACCTTGCCTCTCAGGCCAAGACGCCTCGGTCAGAGACACTGACGCAGATGGACACGTTGGGGCCCAACGACTGTCAGTCTCGGAGCTTGCCAGTGTCATGACCATGGTACTGCGCTAGACCTGTTACGAATAAAGTCCCATGTCACAAATGGCAAAACGAGCCATGCTATATATTCATGTTCTATTTATCTATACATTCTTACGTGTGTGTATATATATATATGTATGTGTATGTATGTATGTATGTATGTATGTATGTATGTATGTATGTGTGGAAGGAATGGTGCATGCGGTACCCCCGTCGATTGAAAGGGGCTATTCGTCGAGCCCAGGCGCAGGCAGTACAGCAAGAGCTATGGGCATCGTCGTTACGCCACCATCTTGGCTTGATTGGTCGGCAACTTCGTGCTGCGGGGGCTGTCCTCCCTGCCCATTGCCTGGGCGATGCTCCGCAATCGCATTTCTGTGCCCCGTGTGGCCTCTTGTTTGGCACGTATCAGGCCTGGTCAGTACATGCTTTCAAGACGCACGGCCGTACGGCCGAACATAGACAGGTCCAGGAAGGCACCCAATGCCAGGCCTGCCTTCGGCACTTCGCCACGCACATCAAACTGTGCAGGCATCTTCAGTACCATCCTCGATGTAGGCAGAGTCTACAAGAGGCCGGCTTCGGCTGTCAGGTTGCTCCTGGTGTTGGCAATACCAAAGCTCCTGACGAAGGAAGGTTTCAAGCTCCGACACTACAGGCACAAGGTCCTCTCCTTCCTTTGCACAGAGGACAGTGGACTGACTATCTCGAGCGACCGTCTGTCGAGGTCATTGAGTGCCTTAGTCACCTCGGTTTCGGGCTCGCTGCGGACAGCCTTACTGAGGAAATAGCTTGGGAGCGAGCTCGCCTGGCCTTCTCTTCCCTGTGCCTCCCCACCGGAAAGATCCGAGCCACTGCTCAATCTTGGATTACACTTCTTGAGACCGAGCAAATCGACGACTCCTTCCCTCGTGGTGTCCTCCTGCGAATTGGCCGATGGATTTTGTCGGCTGAGCTGGCGGAATGGCTTGTGCCTGCTCCTGTGCCGCGACCGAATCATGTGCTTACCTTCCGGGATGCGCCACTCATCCTGTCGGAGCTTGTTGTCTCGGCCCTCTCCCCTCCGGGGGTTGTCCTACCTCCTGACTGGGTTTTGGTTCGTGTTGGTTCGCAGTCATGGTTGGACTCCTGTCGCCTGTGCACTGTCCAGACCATTGACTTCACCCATCATGAGTGTATTCAAGCATTGAGAAAGGGGCACTCCCCCTCCTTCATGGAGGAGGTTGGCGACGACGTTGCCTTCGTTGTCTCGGTTGGCGGGTTGTTGTCTTGGCAGGACTGCCCGTCCCCCCCTGTCAGGAATATCGACTTTGGCTCCCGATTGGAACAGGCCCTTCTGGCCGGTGACCTTGTCAGGTTTGCCCTCCGCCTCTGGCTTTTGGGCTTTCCTGTTGCACTCCGTACAGACCGTCCTGATGTCGTTCCCGAGCCGGTATGCTCTCTTCCCTTTCTGTCCGCGCGTCAGGCAGAGGGAGCCATATACTGGTGCACGAAGGCCTTCCACTGGGAACCGATTTTGTTTCACCATCTTAATTAGTTTGTTGAGTCTGCAACCAACGGGCTGCAGCCGCGGATGGCACCTACGCCCGAAACGAGCGAAACGAGCGATGTATGTATGTTTGTATGCATGTATGTATGCATGTATGTATGTATGTATGTATGTATGTATGTATGGACGCATGCACGCATGCACGGATGGGTGTATTGCGGACAGTGGGCTTGCTTGAACGGGATGGGATCCCGAAGCGCAGTGTTGTCACAGCAGCACCTGTAGAGGCAGCAGCAATGCTCCAGGGCCTCCCAGTGGCCTCCCAAACAAAACGGGCCTGAACAGGAAAACCAGACGATTTGTTCATTTGCTTCGGGCCAGCTCTGGGGTTTGAAGGCTTCCCGGGGCTCCAGGGGAGCTTGAGGCTGAGGTCTTGGGAGTGCGGAAGGCTAAGGACCCCAAAACGGAATCCTGGGTCAGGGTACCCTGGTTTTCGTATTTTCTGATTGCAGTCTTGCTCATAGCTTTCAGGCAGTGGGCCGTCACGAGCCCTCCCGAGACTCTCACTTTCTCATTCCAATGCTTCTTATTCCGATGCTTTCTGAAGTAGTGCTGTCGCTGTACCATGGTTTTCATCCTGGAACTGCGAGAAGTGTCAAGCGACAGCCGCAGGCCAGAAGTGTACGAAATGCACCTGCCTGAGAATCTTTCTGAACGTGTTAGCATCTGCCCGAGTTCCTCTCTGCGGCCCTGCAAATGCGACACCTCTGGAGTCAAGGGCATTTTCAGAGGGTTGTCGCAGGGATACAACTTGCAGCAAAACAGTGCAAAGCGCTCGATGCCGTGAAGCAGGTGTTTGCACACAACTGGCCCGCCCCTCCACTTGGGTTGGGCTGTGGGATTTCCCGTCTCAGGAAAAAGGCGATGGAAATGCTGGAGCCAGCCAGCAAGGTACCGCTCGAGTCCCAGATTGGCGACAGGATTACACTGTACACGACTGCAAGTTGGGTCAACAGTTCGGTACTTTTGTGACCGAGACATGCTTGTGCATTTCAAACTGAACCGTGCGACCGAGGGCCGTGACGTCTCTTCCTTTCGAGAATCCCTATTCGATGCTTCTGAAGCTTTCGCCGGCCGCCTGGAGTGCCTGAGACTCGCTGCGGGAAGACGCCATCGAGCCATCGAGGCTGGCGGAGATCGTCCAGGGGCAAAAGCCGGAGCTCCTAGAGGCGATGCGCCGAGCTAGCAGCACGGATCAGCACGGCAGCACCTTCTTCTGGCCCAGTTCGCTGGGATCCTAACCGTCCTAACCATTCGCGGGGCCTGGCGGTATGACCCAAGCCGCTGAAACATTTAAAGCGCAGGCTCTGATGTGCATCTCGAAAGCTCTTGCGATCGGCCGGTCCCTCGGAGCTTCGAGGCGCTTCGGTGCGAGGGTGCGACGCTCGCTCTTTGAGGCCCGGCTTGCCAGGAACTCTGGTGGAGCCAGGTCCTCGGAGTCCTCGGCAGCAATATAAGACCTTCGCTCCGCTCTGAGCCCAGTGCCCAGGTGCTGGCCAGGTCTGTTTGCAGCTCTTCCTGCTGCAGGACTGGACGTTGCCGGCTGTTTTTTTTGCAGGCGTGAAGCAAAACTGTGTCCAGGACGACGCGGACAGCCTTGTCGAACCCTGGAGTCAAAAGCTACAGGTGACTCGAGACCACGAAGCCTGCAAGTCCACAACTCTCTGCATCAATCGAGTCTGCCAGTCTGCACAGTACTCGTGGCAGGTTCTGGCTGGAAGCTCGGATATGAAGTGGTCACCGTGCTGGCGCTTTCTGTATGGCAGCGGGCCTGGAAAGAACCTTGTCCCTACTCTTGCTGCCAAAGTGAAAGAGGAGGGATCAAGTGTGCTTCGTCAAGGAAAGGAGTCTGGGAATCACGCATCAGCCTAGCTTTCAAAGTTCGGTTTTTTCTGCCCCTGCTGCCTACTACACTGCCAGCACGCTATGAACTCGCCTGACACGGCAGGAACTTTGCTGCCCTGATGAAACAAGGTCTAACATGCTCAGCTTGCTCCAATGCACCCCAAGAGGAAGGAAGACCAGTTCAACTTCTACTTTCAATGCAAAAGGCCCAAACAGCTCCCATTAAAGAAAGTCTGGAGCTGTCCGCAGTTCTGGGCACGGCATACCTCAAAGTCCAAACTCGTTTTCGGTAATTGCCAGAACTTCAGGTCAAGCGCGAATGTTGAATCAATTGTGGCAGCCAACAGCTTAGTCTATTTCCAGCCTCAGGATTGCAAGGGTCTCTGTGCGCATCCAACTCATTTGTTCAGGTGCAGGCTCACCTGGGATCTGAATTCCGGACTGCAGAAAACACTGAAGGCTCTTTCCTAAGTGCAACGGCAAGACCTTCCAGAACCTGTTTTGCCACCTCTGTATTCTGCAGGCTGGACACCGACAGATCCCTGGAGAGCTTTCTCATTTGGCGCTGCAGTGGTTCGAAAGGCCAGTCAAGGTGAGGACTGACGCATCCAAGTCCTTGACTGCCCCGACAGGCAGCTTGAGATGCTGGTGCTTCTAAGATGCCGGAGGCGCTACTTCGTGCTAACCTCGAATGGTTCCGATGAAGCTAGAAGGGCCATATGAGATTGTACAAGTCTACATCACAGTCACAGGCATCAACAAGCAGTCAGGAGTTGTACTCTCGCAACTTACTGAGGCCCGCAACAACGAGAGCAAGCTTGTGTCGCACCTGCCCGGTCCTCGATTTCTTGCGCTTCGGGCGCATGCTGTAGACTTCCGAGCTAGTCCGGACTGCTACAGCTCTCAATACCATGCGCTGAATGCTAGCTGGATGTGTGCTTTGGTGATGCTCAAATGTTCGAGGGATAGGCAAGGGTTGCTGCTCCTGCCGATCCGATCAGGCTCTGTACAAGGGTTGCTTCCTCCTCTACTTTGAAAAATCTTGGCTCACGATTCCGAGGAGGTATGCTTTAGCACTCTACAGGTTATTCCATAGACTACCGAATTATTTAAGACTCTGGTGCGTTATGAATCCTTCTTTCGGGGACCACAAACGGACCTTCCCAGCCACACATGTCATTGGGGTAGCATCCTCGTCTGATCAGAGTCATGGTCGCTATGCAACAAATCCACAACTCGCTGGCGGTCTAGCCAAAGAGATGTGAGATCATGGTTCTCATGGGCTTGGATTCGTCGCACGTTCTGCACGCACTGAGGAATCGCTGCAAGCGCACGGCGCAGACCCTTCTTTGGTTCCTCATCAAGTGTACGGAGCTGCCACGCTTTTGCGATGTTCGACCATGAAAGCTTCGTGCAGAGGGCCAACCGAGTCTCGAGTGCAGGACATGAGTGGCGAGTTTCATTACACCGCGGATGTGATGGCGACGGTGAAGGACGAAGACTTAATCAAGCATCCTCTAACGAAATCGGGAGGGGCAAAAATGCCTCGTTGCAGGACTGGGAAAGACCAGTCTTTGCAGAAACCTGGTCCGACTCCCGGCTGTTGGTCGAAGAAAAATCCGCCTGTGCAGATGGGAAGCCAGGTGCAAGCTGGCGAACGGCGGCAGCCAGCCGCTGCTTTGCTTCAGAGGGACACTGTGTTGGGCATGCTGAAGGCATGGTTCCCTTGTCCTGCGCCGAATCCAAGACTGGCAGGATGGACGGACGAGATCGAGTCCCTGCAACCTACCTTTGGTGCGCCCTAGCACATCCAGCAGTCCTAGCAGTCAGGCAGGGGCCGAGGTAAGTTCGTGGACAGACAGGTATGTGCCATACATCCTGGGCCGAATCGAGTGGAAGCTTTCGAAGCTTTGTCCCGCAGCTTCTCTTCATTTAGAACGCGGTGATAGTTGCCACATGATGCTCTCGTTCGCAGACAGAACAGAGAGGCGGTATGTCGTCGGTTGAGTTCCAGTTTTGCCTTGCACTGAGTATTTGCACTCTGGAGCAGAGGCTTCGCCAGAGAGGCTGCAGCGGAAGAGCATCATTTGCAACTCTGTAGCATGTAAGGCAATAGCAGGCCCAGCTCTCCGACTCCAAGCGCCCACCACGAACTTTGATTGAGGCCTCCTGATGGATGCTTGCCATGTGGAGCTCGCAGCCGGTCACTGAGCAGTTCGAAGTGTTCTTCCGACCCGGATAAGACCTTCCTTAAGCTGCTCTTAGGAACCAGTTCGACAGCTGAATTTAGAAAAACAACGATGTCCGATGAGCCAAAGTCGTGAGGTGCGCGCTTCTCTGACAGAGAGGCTTGAGCAGTGTGAATGCAGGCCGTCTGCCCCAGAACACCACGCTTCTCGACAGGAGGAGAGACGAGATCATGGAGACGGAGCCAAGCTTCAGGCCAGGACACGGATGATCGTCCTCTGGCTGAGGCTCTCTGCGACGATGCAGCCTTTTTGCTCAATCATGTGAACCCCGCAGGCTACATGCAGTTCGCCTGGCAATCCTGTTTGGGTCTCCAGACGGCAAGCTCCTCACCCAATCTTCTTGTATCTTCTTGTTCATTGGCTCTGCAAGCCTATGACCTAGATTCACGAGCGATAGCTTGACTGCATACCCGTACCCAAAGAGCGCTCTTTGGACCAAGCGGCTGCAAGAGCTTGATCGGTTGGTTCTGCTTGGTTGTTCACAGGCTATGAGAGTGCCGGAACGATCTGTTTCGACACCAACTGTCTTGAGCTGCCAGTTCCCCAGTCGTTGCCAGGCTTTGAGTACCCGGGCAGAGGCAAAGTTTTTCTGTGGCCTTTGGTGCCTGGAAGGTCACGGCAAAATGTCATCGTTGACGCGCTCAAGGCTCTGCGGATGCCAAGGCGGTACATGTGCTAGGCACACGCGATCCTCGGGAGGGGATGCAAGCCGTCGTGCAAGAGAACAAGTGCCACATGGGCAAATACCTCTCCTGCGAGGCGGGTGCTGACAAGCAGGTTTAGTAGCGCGTGTTGCAGTTTTGGTAGCGAGAGGGCACCAGCACTATCATTCAACTCAGTATAAGCTGGGGCTTTTGTGTAAGCAAGCAGCGGCTATGCTTCTCCCGTGGTCACCCTCCCTCGGCAAAACACGGCTGGGCAGATCAGTGCCCAGGAGGTCTCGCAGTCACAAAGTATCCACACCTTGCAGCAGGCGAGGGCTTTGCTGGACAGTGGCGAGTTGAACAGGGCAGCCGATTGCGCAAGAAGCTTACTCCGATTCGGGGATCGTTGATTCGGCCCTCTTGGTCAAGATCGGAGCCGCTTGAGCCAAGGTGATCAAGATTGTCGATGAAGCGATGCGAGCCCGTAGACACCCTACTGTCAGCAGAGACGAGAATGATCCTGAACACATGTCATGACAAGTACAGAAGCATAAAGAGATTCGTCAGCGGTCCAGCAAGCAGCAAGGCAAGTTCCGAGTGCCCTCCTTCGGTGCTTGTCCCCACCTTGGAGATGAGTGACTTTATGAACGGGCAATGCATTTTGTAGCAATGTCCTGGTGAGTCCACGTGTCGCGGCCACTCCGCCGAAACGCGAGGCCTCAATCCTCACGTCATGCTCTGTCAGCCAGCTTCTTACCATGAAGTGGGCGTGCACGTCTCTCATCCAGCAATCTTCTGGAAGAATCTGCCAACAGCTGCTGAAAGCAGCGTTACTCTTGAGATGTATGCTCCAGACTGAGGCGTGCCCGCAAGGCTGGGCAACACGGCTATGACTACAGTCTACAGTGTGTGCTGCTGAAATCCATTCGTGGGACAGCGAAGATGACTGCCTCTAAATGGAGGCAGAGAGGCAGCAGTGGGCGGCGATGCAGACGTGCACGGTGCTCAAGGGTCACATCAAGTAGGACATCACGGCTGGTCAAAATAGAGCCTGCGCCGAGCGCACGAGTGCCAGGCCTGGACGTCCAGCAAGCCCTCTTGCAGGCCATCTTGGGAGTTAAGGCCGGGCCGGAGGAGAACTGCTCCTTTCACAGTCTGAACCCGAAGCCAGGCCTTTGCTGCTCTGCAGGAAAAGCTGGGAACACAGCCTCGTCAGTCAAAGTCAGCGACAAACTTGAGAGCTCTTGTGTCCTGTGTTGATTTGGCTCGCAAGCGTTCGCGAGAAAATCCGGCTACAAAGTTGGCCGGCGACACATGGACATGATCACAAGAATCTCAAAGACTCAAAGACCCGTGCCTGGCAGAGGCAGAGAGCCGTGCAGCAACCTAAGAATGCCACGAGTGGACGCTGAGCCGCTGAGTCTTGTCGCCAAGCGCAACCTTCGCAGCATCCATGAGCTTGGAGAAGTTGCTCCATGCGCATGGACATGAAGCTCAACATGAGCTTCATCACTACGAGGAGAGCTACTGGACTACCCGCCAGGGTCTGAAAGCAGTGCCGTGCTCGCGCTCGAAGTATGATAAATATGATCATGGCCCACTGTAGCAACAAGAGGTCGAAGAGACAGTTGGTGCAGCCAGCTCAGCCAACCAGCAGAGCTACCCGGCTGACTGCCCTGTACACGTGCAAAGGGGTCCCCCGTGCCAACGTGGTAAGGACACCTTCGACACAGAATGCAGATGGCGAAACGCTTAATCTTCCTGTGGAAGCTTGGACTAAATGTTCGATGTGGCTGTCGGTGTGCGTGCTATTGAGTCCAATGTCCGGCTTTCAGGAGGAAGAGCCTACTTCATCGATTTGCGGCTGCGCGCTGTCGCTCGTATCGACCTGCGCAGCTCGGTCTGGTATCATCATCTTCTTCGGTCGATGCCCTCCCTTCCCAGATGGTGACAAGTGTCGTCATTGCTGGCTTCGGGTGCGTGCGGGGGCACAGGGCAGCTGAGAAGTTGAGGATGATGTTGTAGCACCATCAATGGCTTGGACCATCTTGGGCCTATTGCATCGGAGTTACAAGGTGGTGTGAGCAAACTCCAGAACTTCGTGGATCCGGCTTGCGGGTGCAGCCTTAGCCCTGTAAGATCTTGCTGTTGAGGTGGGCAGCGGGCTTCTCGCACTGCCTTTTGCATTCGCTGCGGCTGGGCACCTCGTCCCGCAGCTGTGGTCGGAGCCTGGCAAGGACTGAAGCTTCTACCGCAGCTGAAAGGCCCTTACACGGTCTCGGTCTCCTTGCTGGGTCAGCCCTTCTCTCGGCTTTCGTCTCGCTGCTGCAACTTGTCCTGCACACGTGTCAACTCAAGCTTGCTTTTTGGAGTGCTTTTTTCTACTTGATGTCCTCAGCCAGAGTGAGAGGCTGTGCATGTGCTGCGACTGGAGCGAGAAGAAGTCTTACGAAGAGCTCGCAATAGCGGCCTTTGGCAGCTGGGGCTCCGTGACCACGGCTGCAACTGTTAGTGCCGACTTTGCCGCGGGCTGGCCGGATGCGTACAAATATGACTCGAAGCTGAGGTGATCATGGAGCTGATGGTCGTTTGGCTTCTGCTTGGTGCGATGACGAGCCTGCTGGTCATTGCGGGTGCGGGCCACCTAGCACTACCAAGCATCAAGTGGTACTGCCATGGTGTGACAAGTCGGCAGCACCGTCCTCAAACGGAATGATGAGTCGTTTGACTGGCAGGTGACTGCCTAATGGCAGTTGGGCCCAGCTTGGATTTGGATGCCAGCCTGAATTTAACCGCTTAGTCGCGACTAGCTCGACTGTCAGCGTGCTTTTCTTGTGTTGCCCAACGACGGAGACTTAAGCGGCGTAGCAGGTTTCGAGGCAGTACGGACACCTGCCGTTGATTTCGTAAGGCGGGCTCTGAACGACGCGGCCTTCTCACGGTCTGGTGCTCGGGTGAGTATTTGCTTTGACTCAAGTTGCCACTGAAGCTGCATGGGTCCTGCGTCCTTGCCGGGTTCTGGGGGTGTTTCAGGATATGCAAAAGGCACCCAGCTGAAGGCTCATAACAGCATTGTAGAGTAGCTTGAGTTGGTGCTGTTCCAGGGCTTGATACGAGCCCAACACTGTCACTTCTTCGGTCCATGGATAGGCCGACCTGATTGAAACAAACGAGCAGAGTCAGCGCAAAAGTGTCCAGCGGTCTAGCCCTTCTATCTGTTATTCCACTTGTTTCCAGAAGTAACCGTCCTCATGGTCTCAAAGGCCTTGGATGTCGCCCTGGTGATCCTGCCGCTGTCCTGCCTGCAGTCTCCAGCGTGCCGTGGCTGAGAATATCGAAGATTTGACCTTTTCCGCGCTTTGTTTCGGTTTTGTAAATCCTGACTAAGTTCTCTTCTCTACAGCAACGCCATTGCGGTTTCCTGCACACTCCTCGTGGGCCTGCTGCTGTCTCTGCGGAGCTGGGGCGATTGGGGCTCACCAAGCCGCTCAGAAATGTTAGCCGTCCCTCTGCTTCGAGCTGCAATGACGCGATCGCAGGCCATTTGGTGATCTCCAACCAGTCCAACTTGTCAGGACTGCCTGGGCTGTTGCGAGCAGTCCCTCGCTTTCTGAATCTCATGCCGTCTGAGAGATGTTGACCCTGTAAAGTTTAAAGCTGACTACACTTTCGACACCTTAGCTCTAGTGACTGAGGTCCCGATAGTCACGCTGTCTTTGGGTTGCCAGGTGCAGGTGCCTCGTACTGTTGTTTTCAGACAGTGGTTGGGTTAAGCAAGGCACACTGGATCATACTGGACATGCTGCCATGCATGCTGCAGGTGCCTTGCATCTACGCCACCATGGAGAAGCGCTCCTTCAAGCGAATGAGATGTGCGATTCTGGCGGCCATGGGCTTATGCATCTTCATCTACACGGTCCCAGCCTCAGGGCTGCATGCCTGGTCAGCATGGCAGCTTTCACCCTCAGACGTGCTCAGGTGGTGGCCTTGTCCGGTCTGCGCATTGCCGAGCTTCAGGGAGATGCTCGGCTGCACCGAGGGGAAGCTTCCCGCTTCCTGGTGAGCGAATCCGAAACGCTTGCCCGCAAGCCCCGGAAGTCTGACTTTTTGCACGTCCGGCGTCCTTTGGCGGCACTTGCGCAGTCTAGCACAAAATGTCGGTGCTTCCCCGTGCAGGTCACTGCTGTGCCAGGCAATGTTCTGGACCTTTTCGGTTCCAGTGACTGGCTGGGTGGAGCTATGCGTGCGGCCATTTCGGTGTCGCAGCTGAGGTTGAGGAGTTTAAGGTTTAGGGTCATTAGTTCATTAGTCGAGTCATTAGGCTTCTGGTGCGGTTGGAGTGGTCCGGCGTGACGACCCAAGGTGGCCGTGACTCTGGCTTTCCCAATGCTGTGCTTGCCTTGCCGACCCTCGCTTGGCAATTCACGACAGATCTCGCTGTGAGGCTGTTGTTGGTCTGGTTGTTAAATAGTACAAGTATATATATATATATGTATATATATATATATATATATATGTATATATATATATAAGGTGTATGAACTCTGTCCTCGTGCTGAGGCTCCACCGTAGACCACCTGGTCTTCGGGGGCGGCGCCTTCGCTGCCTCGAATGCTGGAATGCGGCACCGGATAGAGACTCTGGTGGTGGTGACTTGGCCTCTGCTAAAAGTTGCCTGCATGATGCAGACTAAGTAATGCAACGCCGTCTGCTCAGAACTGTCAATCGTAGACTGATACGTTGCTCAGAGTCACGCAGTCGGTTGTGAAGTCCGCCGGCTCTCAGGTTGGCATTACTCTCCTACTCTCAACTACTGAGAGTGACCTCTCGAAAGTCTTCGGTTTCACCGGTGCCACAGCAGGGGCAGTGATTTGCTATGCGCCTTGGAGAATCTATGTATCAGTTTTCTGGAGGCGCTTTGCCCACAACATGCAATGAAGACTGGACAGACAGGTCTTGCCTCTTTGCTTTTACCTGCGGCTGCGAATGATGCGTCCAGCAGTTGAGCGCCGCTCGACGATTGCCGTTGCCGTGCTGTGCGGCCTGCTGTTGGCCGCAATGATTCCCTGCGTGGCCTCTCGCTTGCAAGCCGCTGCAAGCCTCTCCGCCCTCTCCCTTCTCTGCCTCCTTGAGAAGCAAAGCTCTTCCAGGTCTTGGCTACCTGGCAACTTCTTTGAGGCCCTGGCAGAAAAGTCTGGAAAGCTTGCATGCACCGGAATCCGCCAAGTGCGAGTGCAAGAGTCGCGCGACTCTGCATTGGCTGTCGCAGACACGGACAGAAGTTGAATTCTGGAAGTGTGATTCATTCTGAGGCCCGATGACCTGCGGGGGTTTGAAAGCTGTTCGGGGCCTAGAATAGAAAGAAAAGGCTGCACGGGCTCGTTCTGTACCGCCTTCGAATCTGAGTCTGAGGCAGTGGTGTGCACCCCGGTCATCGAACCAAGGCCCTGCAGTTACACAAACCAAGGGTACAAGCTTCTTTCTGATTCCGGTGCAGTGAGAAATTATCATACAACAAGATCTTGATGTTCTTGCTGCCACAACGCACGCATCCTTTTTTGTGTGAGAGGTGGTTAATGCGCTGAAATCACTGGACCAAAACCGGCCCGAATCCTGGCAGGCCCGGTTTGGTTGTAGCAGTCAACATGTGCTTCACTCCTCAGCTGGATGATCCGCGTTCTCATCAGTACACATATTCTATGATGTCCCGGTCGGCCTCTGCGGCGCATTTTCCATATATAGAATGGTCTGACCATAGCAGAGCCCTCTGCACATTGTGGCATGCAGGCACTGTTCCAGGTGAAGCACGCCCTGCTTCGCATGGTGGCTCGTTCTACATGCACATCAACCAGTGCAAGTGCAGAGGATCGCCCACCTGCTTCGCCCAGGTGTTTGCATGCATAGACACGGAGTCCAACACCAGCTTCGAGACCTTTGGCTACAATGGCTACAATGCACGAACATGTAATTACTCCAAACCCACGTAGGGTGAGTCACTCCGGCATCCCATCGTCTTGTAGGCTTGCCCAGACCGTGTACTTGCTCAGAGCTATCAGGCTGGAACTCCGAATAGCCATTGCGTGACGGGCCTGTGCTCTCGCTCTCGTGTTGCAGGCGCAGCTTCAATGCCTTGGTGAAAGCCAACTCTCCCGGAGGCTTTCTGACTTTGAGATTTCGAGGCACCTTGCTTCACCGTGCATAGCCAGGTCGATCGAACGCGCCTTCTAGGCTCGGCCGCGCAGCAGCTGCCAGCCATCCGTCGTACCCTCCCCGATGGCAAGAGGCCTTACTTGGATTGGCGACTGTTCAGCCTTCTCCGCCACCTTTGCGACAGCCTCAAAGTTACATGCTTTGAGCGAGATGTAAGAGAAAGCTTAGAAGATGCGGCTCCTTTCCGGAGGTCTCAGGTGTAGCGGGATGCGTCGCTTCCTCGACGATCCGAAGCTGTGCCAGGAACCTTTGCCGACTCGCCTTTCCTTATTACATGATGCAGCTTGACCGTTCTTCTCGAACAGAAGCCTGTTGAGCTGTGCCCCTGCGGAGGAGGTCGAGCTCCTGCAAGCCAGTCTGGAGCCCTGCGACGCCGGGGTATCGACGGCTCGATGGAAGCAAGAGCCTGTAGGCTTGAAAGCAGCTGCCTGGCGGCTCTTCTGCTTCGGGCCTGGAGCTCGAGCTCTCCAGCTGATGCTTTCTTTGCACGCCTTTGAATTGAAAGAGAGGCTGGGAACTGGCGAACCTGCACGATCGAGCCCCTTGGAATGCAGACCTCACGAGCCATCTTTGCACGCGCTCAAGCCTTTTTTGAAGGCACTTCCGACGAGGCGGGTGCTTCCTTTGTGATTCTTTGGTGCGGGCTCGATCTGTTCCAGCTAATTCGCGCAGGACTTCTTCGAATCACTGCAGGGCCAGATGCCGCAGACTAAAGAGCCAGCACCCCGGGCCATCCCAGGAAACCATGGGCTGCTTGTGTGTGTGTGTCCACATGTGCTGATCATCTTAAATCCCCGTGCGGGGTTCACGCGTCAGCGTCACATCGCTGGCATCGCGCGAGCCCTGAGGCTTAAGGACTTGATCGGTGTTGCCATTGATGGTGGGGAGCATTTCGACTGCACTGCATTTGGGATTGCACCCGTCTGGCCAAACGATGCTTTCTGAGTCTCTGTTTTGGGCCGAGGCTTGATGCGTAAGCTTCGGGACAGCGGCGACTCCCGGCGCTGACGAGCAGCGGTGCCGTAAAAGCTGGCGCTGCAGCTCTCTGTACATAGGTCAGGGCTGGCCCGAGCCGGGAGTTGCCATGGAGAGTAGCTGCGCCATGCTGCCGGTCCACCCGCGTCGCCATATTGTGAGATTGCAGTTCTATTCTTCAGTAGCCGAGCCAGCTGGATTGGTCTCTTTTTGAAAGTCTGGCACTCGTGGGCATGCTACGACGAGAGATCTGGACTGAAGCCTGTGCCGGCAGCATGCAGTAGGATCAAGGAGTCCGCGCATGCGTGGAGAATAGATTCCTGCAAAAAGAGTAGCAGCGCCTTCATGCTGCATTGTGGGATGTTCTGCAAGCTGATCCCGTCCAGGATTGGATCGTGAGGTCGTGTGTGGAGGGTAATGTGGCTCTGCGAGATGCTAGTCCAACAGCGAAGCATGGGAATGCGTGGGACAGATGCACATGATGGGATCCCGGCACGTGTAGTCCACAGCAGCTGTCTCACGACAAAGCCAACTCATAGACCAAAGAGAGCCCCTTACGCCCTACCCTACGTCTGGCCTTGGACGAACTGCCGCTTGGCGAAGCGATCGCCGATGTCCCATGGCCAGACCGCCAAAAAGTCGATGGAGCATCAAGTGGTCGGACACACACATCTTCAAAGCAGAGCAAGAAGGCAGATGAGGGTTGGGGTTTCAAAGCTGCGTTTCTACGACGTGATCTTTTTCCAACAAGCGCAGGTGACAGCATCTCGCCGAGTTGTGTCGAGGTGCCTCGCTCGCACAGTGATGTGAGGATTCTGCTAGGGGCTAGTGCCACTTTGGATCTACAGTGCCACCCCAGGACTGGTGTCGCACGCTGGACTCGCAGCTAGAAGAACGGTTTGGGCCAACTGTGCCTGCGAAGCTGTCCGCTGCAAGCCTGAACTTCTCTCGATGCAGCCTGGATGACGCAGCACCTCGTCTCAACAGAAGAAGATCACAAGATATGACTAGGCCACACTGACTGCAGGATTGAACCCCACAGTTTACTTCTGGAGTTTCGAAGCCGTTGATGAGTTGCTTCATTCCCTCATTACATCACCTGGCAGGCCCTGACGAAGTTGCTGACCTACCTCTACAGCCGCGACATAACCGTTCAGATCCTGAAGCTCTTCAGGCATACTCGTGCCGTTGCGCAGAAGTCTGCACCCGTGTGAGATGAGAAGTGCAACACCGAGTTTCGTATCACGATCAGCTCGAGACGCATAGCATCGGATTGAGTTCTTTCCCTTATGTATCCGAATGGGGCCCGAATTCACCGGACTGTTCTGCAATATCACGTCGTCCGAGGGGCTGTGCGTAAGCAGCACTGTGCCTCTGCATGCTTGCATGTTTAGGTACCAGGCAGATACCTCATTCGGGGTGCCCAGCGCACCTGCATACTGTATGAGAACACGTACTGCAATATATCGACCAGGAACAACATCACGGACTCCGGAGCCTGGGCTGTCGGCCAGTTCATGGCGCACAGCTCCCAGGCAGTGCATGAAGTGCACCTTAGCCACAACAGCATCTCCGAAGAAGGCGGGGAGTAAAACGAAATGCAGATGCGAGAGAAGTAGGGGCCCTTGTGGCAGGTGCCGCGGCGCTCTTAGAGCTTATTGTTGGAGCCTAAGTTACTTTTCGAAGCTGCAGAGAGACGCTGAAAATCAAAAAGCACCTGGGAGCTTTTTTTTGCCAGAGGTCTGGAGCCGGAAGTATCCCTACGCAGCTGAGAATACCGGGCGCCGGGACGCACGTGGCAGCTTGGGCCTCCATTTATGGCCTTCGGATATCGGCTCCTTTCCTTCCGGTGATTTGTGCTAGGCCATTTCGGTTTGCGAAGGATATGCTCCATGCAGTGTTGCCGTCAAATTGCCGTTTGCGATCGACCAAGAGCACGTCAGGGTTGGTTTGAGAGTCGAAGCATTTGCCCTGTCGTTTGCAAGCGCTTTCTCCACACAACCCTGCGAGGATTTTCTCCAGGCGAGTCTTTGGCCCACGTAAGTGGAAATCTGAAATGTCCTGAGAGTTCGTAGAGGCAAGATGGCAAGATGGTCATCGTTTTGCTGTCGGAGCTGGTGCATCCGTTGTTGCTGTTGCCGCTGTTGCCGTGATTAGGCTTCGCAATCGCACGGCGTTGTGGTGGTGGACTTGATTGTGGTTGCGGCTGTTGCACGGTTGGCGATTGTGCTCCGTTGTGGCACTCGTCATTAGTCTGGTGGCTGTGTCTTCGTTGTTGACATGACGCAGCTTCTCAGAAGGTGTTGTTTCCGTGGATGCTGCTCCTGCTTCTTCTTTCAATTGTTGTAGCTCTCAGTCTTCTTCTTGTTGGGTTGTTGCTTGGGTTGTTGCGAGTGGTATGTCGCGGTGTTTGAAGCGGCTCCCGCGGTACAATGCTGGGCAATGGTGGTGCATGTCTTTCTTTGCTTACCCTGTCGTGGTAGTCGTCGTTGTCGCTCTTTGTTCTCTTGCACGGCAAAGCTTTTTTGACTCATCAGAACTCAAGAGTAGGAAGCCATGGTGGCTGGACTTGAACTTCAACAAAAGCTGCTGCATCGGCTGCGGACGCTAGGAGGAGAGGTTTCACCGGCCGGCACACTCACACCAGAGGTTGACAAGAAGCGAAGCCCTTTAAAACATCGGGCGTCTGACGAGGACCGCTTGGAGGATATGGCCTCCGAGGCGAGCAGACTCCGACAGCAGATCTTGAATGCCAGGAAGGACAGAGACCTGGCCAGGAGCAGGAGACAGCAGACAGAACAGGAATCGGTAAGCTTCCACACGAACACCGCGAAGCAAATTGCACAATATCACTGTCGGTTGCAAGCGATGCGCAGCAACATTACAGCAGACAGAGAAGAGGCCAACCTTCTGCGACAGAACTGTCGCAATGACGATCGCAAGAAACAGAGCCAGCAGGCGCAGGCTAGGAAGCTCAATCAAGAAGCTGAGCTGTGCAAAGCGCACAAGGCAAAGCTGGTTGTTGACGTGCAGACCGAGTCGGACAGAGTGGCTGCTCTCCGGGCAGCTGTGAAGACCTACGAGCAGCGCTTAAAGGAAGTGCTGGAGCGAAAGGTCTTGGCGGAGGCGGAGGTCATGGCAGCCAAAATGTCGCAATCGGCGCAAAAGGAGCAGGAGGACGAGACGAGGAACTTCACA